GCCATCTTTGGTGGGGGGAGCTTCTGGAACTTGTTCCCCCTCTCACAGGAGACAGTCCTCCACAAACTTTCTCCGATGTGAGTCCCTCCCGTGGGCTGCAGCGTTCCCCACACTGCTCTGTTGTGGGTCACTAACTTTCTCCAACTGGCTTCCCTCCCACAGCTGCAGCCCTTCCTGAGCTGCTCCAGTGTGGGACACCCCCGCATGCTGCAATCCTCCCAGCACTGAGTTACAGCAGTGGGTCTACCTTTTCCCACGAGACCCCAGCCTTCTTTGGGCACAGCACCTTGATTAACCAGGCGGAAACCACAGGCCATAAATCAGTGTCTGCTCCACCACAGATCTTCATGGGTGGCAGGGGGGGCAACCCTGTCGTCTCACCACAGGATAAAGGAGGGTCTCTGCTCCGGCACACCTCCCCCCTCCTTTCTTCCTCTGTTCCTCCACTGACCTTGGTGTTCACGCAGCTGCCGCAACTCCTCCTCACAAGTCCGACCGCACGTCACCACGTCCCTTCTTACATAGGTTATCACAGAGGCGCAGCTGATGGGCTCAGTTTCCAAACAGAGGTGGAGCTGACTTGGAGCTGTGGGAGCTTCGAGAAGCTTCTCACAGGGGGCCACTCCTATAGCCCCCTCCCCTGCCACCAAAAAAACCCCACCACTCACTCAACCCAGAACAAGGCCTCATACACAACTGGCCCAAAAAACAGGAGTTTGCTCTAATAATGTCTAGAAACATCTCTCTTTGTGCTAATGTTTGCAATATGCACATGTAAACTGGGGCATTGCTATTAAATATTTCTGATGTTCCTCAACAAACGGTGGTATGGCAGTTGTACTATGTGGCAATGCCTGCACAGGGATTATGCCTTGTAAACTTTTCCATTATTACTTGAGCAGCCTTAGTCCCTGACACTGGTGAATATCCTGCGGCCAGTACAAAGAACTACGTAACAGTGGATGCGGGACTACCTTTTTATGCACCTTGATTTAATAATCAGAGAATTATATGACCAGGCCCTGAAAACAACTGAAACAAACTTTTCCAAAAATAATCTAGCCAAAGGTGTATCTGGTAAAGTTCCCACTGACTGGAAAAGGGGAAATATAACTCCCATTTTTAAAAAGGGAAAAAGGGAAGACCTGAGAAACTACAGGCCAGTTGGTCTCACCTCTGTGCCCAGCAAGACCGTGGAGTGGATCCTCCTGGAAAATATGCTAGGGCACATGGAAAACAAAGAGGTCATTGATAACAGCCAAGATGGCTTCACGAAGGGAAAATTGTGCCTGATAAATCTGGTGGCCTTCTACAAAGGAGTTGCAGGGCTAGTGGATAAGGGAAGAGCAACTGACATCATCTCTCCAGACTCGTGCAAAGCATTTGACACTGTCCTGCACAACATCCTTGTCTCTAAATTGGAGAGACATGGATTTGATGGATGGGCCACTCGGTGGATAAGGAATTGGTTGGATGGTCGCACTCAAAGAGTCGCAGTCAACAGCTCGGTGTCCAAGTGACTAAAAAGTACATGGCAGTCTGTAATGTGCTATTTTTGAATACCTAATGATAACTTCCATTGCCACTCTAACTTTAGAGAAGATGTATTATTTTATCAGTGTGGCATGCAATTAACACTATGTCTTGTTATTTTTAGGTAGTATTTGGAATTTCACTCTAAGCATTACCTCAATAATCCCACTGTGTCAGTGTTATTTCTCTGATAATCAAGGTAGCCCCGTAACACATTACACAAAAGGAGGGAAGGGCTTGAATCTCTCTTGCTGAAGGGATGAAGCTGAATCAACTGATACATTATGCTGGAAATTGGATGCTGCCAACTGTCTTTCATCCACTGGCACTCCCAAATGCATGAGAAACAGATGAGTATCTAAGACATACCATTAAGCCTAAAAAAGGGAACTATTCCTTTCTTTAATAGGAAAAACAAACAAACAAACAAACAAAAAAACCCACAACCAAACCCAAACCCTAAAATCATTGCTCACGATCATATAAAAGTCCTGGATAGAAGACAGAACAGCTGGATCCTGAAAATTCAGGTAACCAGTAGACCACAAAAGTGCTGGTAACTCAACTGTGAGAGAAGGTGAAGGAGGTCTGTGAGCACAGTGAAGACTGGAGACAGAGACTTGAAATTCCAGGCAGGGAAATGGACTTCTGTCCTTTGATCTCATAATTATTTGGAAATGAGATCTGATACTATTTTTTTTTCATGAATGAGTATATAAAATAAACATTAAGTTAACCGATGCATTTTTCTCCTGGCAGAAATAACTGAAAGACTCAGAAATTTCTTAGACAGAAGGCACAATAGAAAAATATTCTTATAATAATGGAATAAAAATGTCAAATTCTATTCCGGTGAACTAGCCAGATAAAACTACATCCTGAAATGATGAATCAAATAAATTGTAAAAATTTTATTTTCCCTGAAATGCAATGTAAGAAATATTTTTTCTTAGAGCAAGACATGTTGTTGTGTCCAGGAATACAAGGAAGATGAGAAGATAGCTAGTGATAAGGAAATTATACATTACCTGCGAAAATGCAACTGAGACGACAGCAAATGCAATAGTCACACATAACTCAGTCACACATAAGGACTATAAAGAGAAATCATACATGAGCAGAGATAGGAGGTTAATTATATTCACCAACAAAATCAGATACAAGGAAACCGAGCAAGGAAAAATCAGAAGGGCCTGAGTTACAACACTGATCCATGTTCATGTGCGAATGTGTCTTCTGTTTCTCCTCCAGGCAGACAGATTTTACTGTAATAGGGTAATATCTAAACATCTTAATCATCTCACTAGATGGACGCTAAATTTTCAACAACAGACACCATTAATTTATGTCACTGGTAACTACCCTCCTCTAACAGTAAACTGATACTTTGTGAAACAATGTTAATTATGAAGGTCTCTATGTTTCAGGAGTTGTTCAGCAAGGAAAACCAGTTTCATAGCTTGGACACATCTTCTCCAAGCACTATGGCATGATTGATTTTCTTATCATTAGATTTATACAAGCTTTGTATTAAGTGGGCTGTGTGTGAGACAACCAGTGATCTTTGACTTCTGAGATAAAGGCTATCCATCTTTCCTCACTACATACACTCTCCATCATTCTGTCCAGCAGCTTGACGACAACATATTAAAAGAAGGTTATCACAATTGCAAGTTTTGAAGCACAACTGCGGCTCCATGTTAAGCTGCCCAACTTTTAAGGTGGCAACATAGAAGTATATGGGCAGGTCTTAAAAAGCCTTTCTTGCTTCACCTGAATCTGCAGCTGACTATGTCAAATTAAGCACCAAGGATATCTTGATGCAAACAAGAATGAGATCAAACAGGGGCTCTGTAACAAGAATGCCTCACACTTTAGACTTCTCAATTACACACCACAGCTCCAGGAACAGAAACATTTTAAAGCTTTATGCAATTTGACCCAGGCACACCTACAAGAAATGAAGGCTGCATGGTGAAAGCCTAAGAATAGGAGATCCAGTTTTTACCAGTACACAGGCAAGGAAGTGCTTTTATGAAGAGATAAAATCTGTTCATGTTCTCATGCATTAGCTCTCCTTTGTAGCTTTGACAGCTGTTCTCCATTTATGTGAAGGAAGCAAATTGCTCACACATGGGTAGAATGTATTATCTTTTTATTGAGCTGTGCCTTTTTTACTCAGCGCCGGTCTTCAATGACAGAGTCAAAACTGCTCATCAAGTGATGATGTTCACCACACAGCTAATGAAGCAGAGAAAACCCCAAAAGCCACTGGTCATGATAAAATCAGTTTTTATGTTAAAATAACTTTAACTAGTAATGCAGATATGGAAAGGATTGTTTCAGGAGCCCAAAGTGGATCTGTAAGAGGAAAGGTGATTGCACCTGAGGTAGTAACCACCACTGCACTTTTCTCTCTACTACACCTGGGAAACAACTACCCAGAAATGTTCTCAATTATTCAAATTGCCACCTGATAGACAGAGTGGTGCCAGAGAACTGATGCAGTTTTTGATTGGCATACTTTCACTGGCCTAATCATTTTATCAGGAGGCAAGATTTCTGGATCTTTCAGTGCTTATATATGCACATACACACACATACAGTTTACTTGAGGGAAAACACAAAGTGTGCCTCATTGACAACAAAGACCTGGAAAACAGGGCTAACAGCACTTCCCTGCCTCATAAGGCCAATACCCCAAGGGCCCCCACATCCTGCACAGCCCCCTTCACTGTGGTGGTGACTTGGTGCCCTGCCCGCACGCCGCTGCGTTCACCCCATCGCCGCGCAGCTGCAGGGCACCGGCAGAAGCGCTGCTACCTCTCCCCTCACTATAAGGCGGCCAAGGCAGCACCGTGACCAGAACCACGCTGCAACCACCACCCAAACCCTTCAGCAGCTGCCCGCGGCTGACACCAACACGGACCCAGAGCGTGACCAAGAATATGCTAGAGAAGCACAGCCAGCTGAGACGGGCCCAGGTGTACAGACACACCACAGACGTGGTGGGGCCTGGAAGGCCACGGGGAGCTCTGGGACACCCGGCCTTGCTCAGGCTACCTCCAAGCACGGCCCTCGGCCCCTCGCTCCCGGACCGGCCGAGCGACCGCTCACCGCCGCACCGACAGGCCCGGCCCCTCCTCCTCCTAGCCAGCAGCGGGATGAACGCCCCCGCCGCGGCCAATCAATAGGCCTTCCTCCCTGACAGAAAGGGCGACACCAGCCAATGAGACAGCAGATAGGCACGAAGGCGGGGGATGAGAGAACCCAATTGAAAAACTTTCCGGCCCCGGGAGGGCGGGAACAATATTTAGCTTCAGTCGCAGGCGATGTGCTCTTCCTCCAATCACCGCTCTCCCAAGATTGGTTAACAGATGACAGGAGGGCCTTGGTACACCCCTTTGTCCAATAGGAAGATAGCACTGCGAGACGGGCGTTCAGATCAGCCAATTATTGCCGGCGCCGACCCCACTCTCCTCTCTCTCTTGCAAAATGGCGGCGACAGCTCCTGCTCCGGCTCCTCCCGCAGCCGCCCCGGCGCAGAGCCCGACGGCGGCGCCCGCCACACCGGCGGGAAACGCTGCCCCCGCCGCCGCGCCGCCCCCGCCCGCCGCCCCGGCACCGCCGCCGCCGCAGCAGCCGGCCGCGCCGCTGTCGGCCGCGCTCTCGGGCCCCTTTCCCGGCGGCCGCGTGGTGCGGCTGCACCCGGTCGTGCTCGCCTCCATCGTGGACAGCTTCGAGCGGCGCAACGAGGGAGCGGCGCGGGTCATCGGGACGCTGCTGGGTAAGAGCCGCCCTGCCCCGCCCGCCGCCAGCCTGGGGGCGAGCAGGCCCGGCGCCCCCCTAACCAAGCTGCCCTCCCGCAGGGACCGTGGACAAGCACTCGGTGGAGGTCACCAACTGCTTCTCCGTCCCTCACAACGAGTCCGAGGATGAGGTACGGAGCGCGGGGAGGGCCCGCGCGGAGCGGGGCCGGCTCCGCTCCGCTCTGGCCAAGCCCCCGCGGGCTGTGCCGGGGCCGGGGGATGCGGCCCCTCTGCTTCCCTGCGCCGCCTCTGACGGCGGCGTCAGGGTGTGTGCCCGTGTCGGCCCCCGCTGAGCGTTAAGCATCCCTGTAACCAGCTGACTCGGTCCTGTCCCGTTTCTCAGGTGGCAGTCGATATGGAATTTGCCAAAAACATGTATGAGTTGCACAAGAAGGTGTCTCCTAGTGAGATCATCCTGGGCTGGTAAGTTCTTCCACAGGAACATGCAAGCAAGCGTGTTGGTCCCTTAAATTACTTGAAATACGTAATTCTCCTTGTCACAGGTTTTAGAAACACTAACGCTCATGACAGTAACATCTTGCAACTCTTGTGTTAGAGTCAGCTGTAAAGCTCCTGCAAGTCATAATAGGAAGAGACAGTATTGGAGACTTACAGGGTTTGGTTTCATTTATATCTAGCAAAGGTATCACAGAGGAGTGATGAGTTAGAGAATGATTGCACAGCTTTGTTAGAAGAACTCGGCCACCTGTAATACAACCTGCACCATAGAAGATAACTGGTTAGAAAGAAGGGAGAACACAAAAGACTAGTTTAAAGTACTGAAGGCCTCAGGAGGAATTAGTGATATCAGCTTGCACACGCAGAAGTTCTCTGATGAGAAAAGGTGCAAGAACTTGTGTGTGGGATGCAAAGCAAGATCAGCAGGGTGTTACGGGAACAGAGTCTGTGTCTGAGTGTGTGGATAGCTTTATTAGTCTTTTCATGCTTTTCTGATCCAACAAAATAGTTCTGTTCCTGTGGAACAAACTTCCTCAACAACCTTCTAATGGCACAGCAAAGTGTCAAATGACAGTTTTCCTCTGTATGTGAGAAGCTAACTGCAGAGCAGCTAAAGGAGCCAGATTAATGAGTTACACCTCCCGCAGAGAGATGTTTGATTTGTTGAAGATCTGCTTAGTTGTTCCAGATTTGTTTGGCATGCTTTGACTTACACAGAAATAAATAGTTGCTCCAGAACATAGTGACAGATAACTGAATCTTGGGTGTCTGATGTCAGCTGTACCGACTCTTTATGACTGGTATTACAACACTGACCCTGTGCGTGTTTTGGGTATGGGTGTGCTCAGCCTGTGTTTCCTACAATTCTAGGACAGCTGGCCATGAAGCTACAAATTCCCTAGTTAAAACACTTGTATTTAGTATGCTTCTGCATCTTAGTGTTAGGAAATCAGTGCTTTATGATACAAACCTGTTAAGTGCCAACAATATGAAACACTGGGCACTTGAATGTTAGAAGAATGGCTCTTCAACCTGTGCTCTTTTGAAGGTATGCAACAGGTCACGACATCACGGAACACTCTGTCCTGATCCACGAGTATTACAGCCGGGAAGCGCACAATCCAATCCACCTCACTGTGGACACAAGTCTCCAGAACTCACGCATGAGCATTAAAGCCTACGTCAGGTACTCTGGGAGGCTGTGTTTCTGGGAGGGGAGCTACCTGAATTACTGAGAGACCACATCAGGGTAATAGGAATTGTAGTGGGCTGCAGTGTCTCATTTTGGACAATATTGTGTAGTTGCTAAAACACAGCAGTGAGCCAGGAATCATGGCTTACTTCCCATTGGAATGTCTTGACCGTTGTATGTAAGTTGAAAGACCTAAACTTTCATAAGCTGGTACCTTGTTGGGTTCGGGAATTGTGACTTAATTAACTTTTAACAATGTTCTAAACATCTTTGTGACATTTCACAGGATTCATATAACTAGCATTAATGTCACAAAATTCCATCACACTGTCTGAATGCTAGCCTGTAGTCACTGGGCTTTATTGTTTGGTGGTTTATTTGTAAAAAGTGGAGGATTAGTGTGGTTAAAACATAAATGAAACAACATCTTCTTGAGCAGTCTTTCTTCCCCTTAACCCCTTCCATTTTTATTAATAGTGGAAATTAAATATTGAGGTGTTTAAACTATTCTACTTCACTGTTCTTCCCAGTACTGGCTGAAGAGCTCTCCTCTTCAAGGATAAAACCCCAGCCTTCCTTTGTAGCAGAATTCTACTGTTTCTTGACTGTACATCTTCAAAAAGGAAGCTGTTTCATGACATCTTTCTTACTGAAAGCATAAGTGAACTTCAAATACTTCAAATAATAGAAATAGTAAAGGTGTTGAGAGTGCTTTATACTTGATTTTTTGTCATATTATGTTTGTTCCTGTGATTTCTCAAAGAACATGGAGTATTTCAGGTTAGAAGAATACCTGCTTTATAAGCAAGAAGGAACTGTGGCTAAGAAGATGGTACTTAACTCTTAATGGATTCGTGGTGACAGACGTCAGACCAGCTAGGAATATTATTGGAGGAAAACAAGCAATTAATAGTATGCCAGGACTGATTTCCTGTCGTCAGTTATTCATGCTGTTAATATTGCTGGTTTTGGTGAGAATGAGTAACCTACTCATGTTCATACTTCAGTGCTAACAGAAATAATTGAGATGGAAATCTTTACTTTCTCCCTTAAATGTGTCCATGCTGAAAATGTTTTCTTGTTATTTTTTTTTCTAGTGCCCCAATGGGAGTCCCTGGTAAAACTATGGGTGTGATGTTCACACCTTTAACAGTGAAATATGTTTATTATGATACAGAGCGGATAGGAGGTGAGTGTTTTCTTCCTATTTTGGTTACAACCATTTTGACACTGTTCAAATGTTTCTTTTACCTTGGTAGAATTGCCGTTCTGGGAGTTTTACTGGGAATTCAGCAAGAAAGACTGCCTTGCTGAAGCTATCCTAAAAATGTTCAAGTTAAGGATTTAAACTGGTTTCTGGGGAAGTCATCTTTTTTTCACCGCTCCTAATTTTGTTTTCAGTGGATCTTATCATGAAGACTTGTTTTAGCCCCAATCGAGTGATTGGTCTGTCCAGTGACTTACAGCAGGTGGGGTCAGCGTCGGCCAGGATTCAGGATACCCTGACCATGGTGCTGCAGTATGCAGAGGATGTATTGGTAAGGCCAGCTTTTTATGAGCCAGCAAATAAGTTTGATGTAAGCTTGTGCATCTTGGTTTTGTTTTTATATATTTTCTTTCTGGGCCATAAACTTTCTGAGTCTTACTCACATTGAAGTGTGTGTTTCTTATGCTTAGTCTGGCAAAGTGGCTGCTGACAACACCGTCGGGCGTTTCCTGATGGATCTTATTAACCAGGTGCCGAAGATTTCACCAGAGGACTTTGAGACAATGCTGAACAGCAATATCAATGTGAGTTCATAATCTAATTTTTTCAGTGTGTTGCCAGCAATTTTGAAAATTTGCCATACAGACAGAAATTTGTCTGTGATCAAAACAATCTGTCTTTTCATACAAACATGTTAATAGAAAATACAGCCCTTTCTTGTCAGTAATTGGATGTTTTAAAAGCTGAAGGTGGATAAAGGAGCTCACTATAATCTTGCAAGCAACTGCAAATGAGAGAATAAATTTTCAAGTACTTGGGAATTATGCAAGTAATCTGCAAGCCAGCACCAATTTTTTTTTTTTTTTGAGTGATTCGACAATATGAATTACCGAGCTTAAGGCAGTATGGGTTTCAAGGATAACTGAAAATTTGCCAGCTCCCTTTGCTCGAGCTGAAATTCTGTCTCCTTGCATAATGCTTAGGACATGAGCAAGGTGTTAGTGTGCTACCTTTTTTCTGTAACAGATCTGTAGGAAGTGAAAGCTAAGTTTCTGAATGTGTTATTCACCCATAGTCTGCAAGACCAGAACTAATTTTTAATTTTGCTCATGCCCTTTGACTTGCCTGGTTAGCATGGGTGAACTCAGAGTTAAAGTTTCACAAGCAGTGTTTCATATTCTGAGAATACCAAAACCTTCTTCTGAGGGAAGCATTCCTCAGGGTAGGATTTTCAGGACTAACAATATCTCTTGTAAACTGCTTTAGAGGTGTTAAAAATTCAACTCCCTAATAGGCTACCATTTTAGTTAATATTTCTGACCACTGCTTTTTTTTTCCCCTCTCAGGACCTACTGATGGTAACCTACTTGGCAAACCTCACACAGTCACAGATTGCTCTCAACGAAAAACTTCTGAGTTTATAAAGAAACTTCTGCCACCCTATACTTCAAAGAGCCTGAAGAATGAGCAGATAGATACACTTTTCTATCAATTTCTGTGTTGTTACAAATTTCCTTGGACCATAATTTAATCACCCAGATGACGTGGTTTACAACTTTATTTCCATTGCCCTGAAAAATCCCTAACATGGTTTAGGAAATGAATGGTAATGGCTGCAATTTAGTTGAGCCCAGTATTTTAAAACAGAATGCCTGAATCTTTTTGTCTCCTGGGTTTATCTACTTGTATAACAAAATACAGCTTTATTGTAAGAATGTATTTGAAATAAAAGTTCCATTGCAGTGGCAAGAATGGCTTCTGTCCAGAAAAAACTGTTCTCATTTATTGTATAATGGATCCACTTTTGAAAGGAAGGGGGGATAACATGGCATCAGGAAAGAATACTGAGGTGGAAGCAAGTCAATTCCAGTTCCGCAGACTGTTGCAGGGTTTCTTTCCAACTATTAAAGTACACTGAGAGCATGGCTTCTTGTGTTGTACATAACATGCTTTTCCGTGGAGGACTACAGAACGGTCACTGGTTTGTAAGTGGTGCTGTGCATATGCCTTCTTCAGCAGGGTACTGACAGAGTAGGAGACAGCAAATTCAGGTCACATTATGGTATCATTTCTCTACATATCCGATCCGTGGGAACAAGGAAATCAAGGTCAATAGCATTAGCCTCTCAAAGTGGAGGTTCAGAAAATTAAACTAGCACCTGAGTTCATCGTTAAAAGGGCTTGAAAAGCATTTGTGGCTGAACAAGTGTGGCTACTGGTTTCCATCTTTGCAAAAGAAGAAAAGCACAGCAAAACTACATAAAGTTTTGAGGTTAAAAGTCGGGTGTCATCAAATAGGAATTTTCTGTTTTGTGACCCTGGAACTGCTGCTAAAATGTCAACGGAAACTTCCCAAAACCTTCATGTTAAATGAGTTCTAGCTGAAAGCAAGCCAATACCAATCTGAACCATAACTTTACAGTCTCAGCCAGTAACACTACCTTTAGAAGCCTGTTCAGCTGTACTGAAGAGGTTTGCCTAATAGAGTAAAAATGTCCTTCTACAACATAAGTGTTCTAATTACTGATGACTGTGATGCCTCATGTTTTGGTGAATGAATTTGAAATGTTAGAGAAGCCTGCAAAGCTAGCAATCCCTCCAATTTTTTTTTTTTTGGTGTTAATTTGCCAGATAAATCCAACAACAGGACTCAGGTTACAAATCTGTAGATCCTGTTACTGGCTGTTCTAATCTGGAAAATTTCCCCAGTTGACTCAATGCTGAAATCTAATTCCAAGGACAAGGAACATGAAAACTGAAGGTATAGCAAAGATTCTAATCTCTGAAAATGTTATTTGTAAGCATTAAATAAGTGTTAAACTCTTGGGTTTTACTAGTTGGAATAAAAATGTTTTCGTTTCCCTCCTTTAACATTCATAACTTCAGCCATTTAATTATTTCACAAATTTTCAGGTCAAGGTATTTTTTAAAGTAAGCCCTGAAATAGAAGAAAAGATCAAGCAGAAAGCTGGATAAGTCTCTCAATTACTGCAAAAAGGTTGCAGGGTGGGAAAGCATAATATTCTTTCCCTGATCTCTGCAGTAAACTCTTGCCATTCCCTGTTAGGAAAACTGGTAAAATGTAAGAAGAAAGACTTTAAACGCTCTACAAGTTGAATAGCTATGCTATTTAATAAGCTGCTGTGCACAAAATACAAAGTTCTGAAAAGAAAGATCAATTTGTAATCACTGGTACAGAAAAGGTATTGTGGAATTTGCCAGTCCTTGCAATTACCTGAAGATTAATGATGATATGCCATAAGGGACAGAGGTTATGTCATTCTAGGCAGAAAGATTCACCACAAAACAGAGCTGTTAGAAGAGGCCACAATCCATAGGTTCGGTTGTATGCCAGACAGCACAGTGACAAATGCTTGGATAGTAGGAAAAAAATAGTTGCCCTTTTAAAAACCATGTATCTGATATCATCTGTCCTGTCCCTTTTCAGTGGGTGAACAGCACATTGTGAATCTTACTTTGACTCTGGAATTGTGAAAAGCTCGAGAGTCAAGTAACATAACCAAGGATTTTAAGCTTTAACTTGCTATTGATTTGTAAACCACAGATTTCTTTACTTTATTATGGGACTTTTTCCTTTTTTTGTCAAAGTTATTTGGAACAATGCATCCCAAACAAAGACAAAAGCTTTAAATAGTCCAGATAGATAGTTCTCTGGATATGCTTCTATATTAGTCATATTAGTGCCCTCACTAATATAATAAGAGAACTTTTTTATCCTCTGCAACATGTTCAGCCTTTTTCTTTACTTAGATGGCTTCTCTGAATGAGTACAACTTTACTTGACATGACTGTATTACAGGTTTATTTCTGGCAATGTGCATGTTTTCCTGGTATTAGGCTTTAAAATACCTTGCTTAAACGGCTCTGCTAGTAGCTCCTAGCACTCAAGTATTTAATTGCTCAAATGATGAGATCTTTTTTTGTATCCTGGCTTGGTTGAGCCGAGCTTGGGTTTTTACCTCAGCATGAAGTTCTCCTTGAAAACTTCTTTTCCTCAATATACATGATATTCAGAACAGAGTTTACTGTTACGATTGATTCTCTTGGAGGAAGGTATAAAATCAGTCCATCTTGCTGCCTTGGACCCTTCTCAGACATGTAATCTCAGTCAGCCTCAACAAAGGAACAGAGTTTCAGCGAAGCATCTCTTGGCAGTACAAAGAGGCAATGAAACCTTGTGTTTTTTCAGTGAGCATGGTGACCTCTGACAGCTTGCAGATTAATTAGCATGCAGACATTATGCTCTGTTCTGACATCTTCCTAGCATAGTAAGACTGTGCTTGCTCGTGTCTTTGAACAAGTGCATGTAAAACCCATAAACACATGAAGGTACTACGAGCTATTTATCAAAATCAATACTTGCAGGATGAACTGTCTTTAACAGAAATGCCTTCTTAAAATTGCAGGAGGGAGCTGGTTATGTTCCAATATTTCTTAACCAATGACAGTCTCAGCAGTAGAAAGAAAGTGGTGTACCACAATGCAAACTGCTGATACCTGATGGTAATTAGCTTCCCTGTGCTCTTCAAGGCTGGCAGATGACATTTAGGTGATTTTTCAAGAGATATTAGTGGATAAGGCAGTATCAACAGTCACGTGTCCTATGACTGCTATCAGGTACTTAGATCGATGCTGCACACAACAGTTCTGGTGGTGACTAGGATTAGAATAAGATTTTAAGAGAGTCCTTGCAGACTGTATTCTGTTACTGTTACTTCACCGGTTAAGCTAAAAGGCAATTGAAATTCAACATTCTAAAGTCATGTGACTGAAAAAAAAAGGGTTAATACTATGTATTTCTCTGGTTAGGGAAAGAAGTTCATGCTGCTAATTTGGTGTGTTTAACAGACACTTCATTGTTGCCATCTTCTCTGGTTCCCTGTGTCCACTAAATACCTTAAAAGGGGTTTCCTGAATCACAAATTCAGTTCTTTCCCATCTTGACCAACCATATCTTGAATTCTATTTTAAATATACCTAAATATAACTCCTTTGCCCTTACTAAAGTTCTTATTTCATGCTCTTCCTGGTATTTATACATAATTTGTTACAGATAGACCATCATACTGTAGCCTTCATTTTACTAAACATACTAAGCTTTATCTCCCTTCTTCTGATGCACCATCTCTATGCTTTCATCACTTGGCTTGCCCACATAAAACTTAGTTTCAGTCTTTCTTGGACTTGAGTTGGTAAAGACCATACCCACATCAGCATATAAATCAGTAAGAATACATTAATGCTTTCCTGTTACAAATTCCTTGTTTGCCTCTTGGGTGTCTGTCACGTAGTCCGATTGAGCACCCCAATCTCTTGCCCCTCCTGTCATTTGCAGCTGAACTCCAATTTACCAATAAAATTATTAATTTAAATGCATGACCTTAGCTTATTCCTAGCTTTTGTGCCCTACTCAGTTAAGAAAAAACTTGGAATTGATCCCAGACCAACTTAACAGAATTCTACAAATTTCCTTTTCAACACAGCCTTTATTCTTGCTTACAAGTTTTTTATCCTTGCTCATGCTAATTCCTGTCTTCTGTAGTTTGACTAATTAAGGGGTTGTGTCAAGCCTTCTGTGGATATCCAAGTGGTTTATACCGAATTCCTCATTTAGAATGTACATTGTGTCAAACTGACCAGGTACATCCAGTGATTGATGTTCATTAAACCACGTATTTAGGTGTAAGCTTTGGAAAGCAGAGATAGTTCCAATTGTTCTTATTGCTGAGAATAAGAAACAGTTGCTATCTGTAACTGGATACTTAAAAAAAAAAAAATCCTTGCTGCCAGTTACAATTTCATTTGGTGATTATTTCCATATACTGGGATGAAGGTCACTAACTTTGCCTTGTTAATTAAGTCATTTAAGTTTCTTGGCAAAATACTTAAGTCTGCTGCAAAGAGGAAGTTGTGTTTTGGTGTGTGATTCTGTGAACCTGTGGACATATGCCATCTATATCTGAAATGCATGGTTTTAATCCTAAAGATTAAAAAATTGATGGTGAAAACACTGGACATGCTGCTCTTCTAAGCCATCTAGCAGAACAACCTGCTGTTCTCCTGTGCTTTGAGGAATGGCGAAGCTTCTGTTTTTAGTGTGGTTCTACACAACAGAACTAGAGATCCCGCTGGCAGCTCAGCTGTAAGAGGGGTGTGAAGCCTTGATGTTTGCACTGCAGTGGGTGGAGCCCTAACATGACTCACTGGGTAGTGACTCTCACTTGAGCAGGTAACCAAACACATGGCTCTTCCTGAAGTGACCCAAACTTGCTCTGCTCCCTGGGCACACGGAAGGTTAACTCAACAGCTAACTTTGACTATTTGCATTTTAATTACTGCGGTCACAAGGTAGTGTAACAGGAAATGTATTTTTAGTACGTAATTTAGACATGGATCACTGCAGTATCCTGTTGGTTTGTTATACTTTGACCTATGGTTCAAAGCTGACCAAATCTTGTTGCTTACGACAAACTGTGGGAAAGTTTTTTTTTTTTTTTTTTTACATTTAACTGTACTGGCTGAAATAAAACATCAAAAGCAATGCTTCATATTATTTAACTAGGAAATAATGTGCCTATCAGGATACATAGCAGAGAAGTAGCAATGCTTTAGTGACCTATGTCACCAACAATAACTTATTCTGAAAAAAAAGTTTTGTTTCAACTCTATTGACAGCACTCAGAACAACTATGTAGTTGAGAGCCAAGTCCCTCCAGACTAGAATTCTGTCCAGTATTATGTCTTGGCAGAAAATGCAGGGATATTGCAAAACAGAGAAGCAAGAGTTTGACTCCCAACTTCTCACTATTAGAAAATTCAACTTTAGTGAAGTTGCCTTACCTCTGCACAGGGTTTTAGAAGCTTTCCTAAATGTGCTGGGTCTAGCGACAGTAACAAGCCAAGGGATTTCCTTAAATATAGGGAATGAAATTAGATGACCACAGCAGTTCCATTCCATGCTTTAAAAAAGTCATTCCAGATATTTTTGTTAACGTATAAACATGCAACACATTTAACAGATTCTTCAGACATAAGCTGTTTTGTTAAAATGTTTTCTCTTATTTTTTACCCACTTGTTTCTGAAAACAAATTGTTCCTTTCCTGACTGAATACCTCAAATCCAAGCAGTCCAGTAAACAGAAGAGATAAAGAATTGCGTATTTTATAAATGTACTTGGTTCCCATAGAAACAGGGATTTAAATATATACCTGTTCTGAAAGAAATGGGCTTAACAGAGGTGAAATAAAGTAGACATGCACTGGGAGTGTCAGCTGAAGAATGTTGCGAGGATTAAATTCTTAAAGCTGTTCCTGATGTGTTCTGGGCAAACAAGGAAGAACAAGCCCAATTTTGCTGAAGATATGTCATTTATTAGATTCTTTATGTGGCTTTAGGTGCTTTTCATTTGAAGCGGGCAAGCATGGTGAATTATTATCCACCTGTTTTCTGCTGCCTGTGCTTAATGCTGTTTTACAGACAAATAGAAGAGTGGCTGCCGTTTCATCTAGAGCTCAAGTTCTGCACCAGGTTACAGGAAAAAAATTGTTTGCATTTTTACGGTGTCTGAACTGCTAACATGTTTATCATGAAAAAGTAGGAAGTTATTTTGAATCATCTCGGGTAACTGCTGCATAATGTCATAGGTGGATCCTTCATAAATTGTATCTTGCTGGTCAGAATCTATTATGAATAAGGAGCCACCAGGTAAAGCAAGGACTATTTGTATGTAGTATCCGTTCCAAGTATAAATATGAATAAACATTACAATAGACAGAAACAAAACACTAAGCACACTTCCCACAATTACACACAAATAATTACAATTTCTTTCTAGAGAAAAGTATGTAGCAGTCAGGACAATCTTACCTTTATGCCCTCTTGGGACTTAAGTCTTGACCTTGAGTACATAGAAAGGAGCAACTCCCCCAGCTCCACTTAGGTGTTTTATATACTTTGCCTGTTACACACCGTTCTGGCAGCCTAGATAACTTGGCTGACTACATGCCAGCTACTGAATGATGATCTTGATCTAAAGGCTCATGTGTTACTGGCTAACAGACTCGATTTACAGCTACATGCATTAGGGCTGAACTGCACTGCATCAGTACTGTAAGGAAACTGCTGTGCGGATTTCTCCCTTCCTTTCCTAGGCACGTGGCTCAGGACGGCCGTGGGATGGCAGCTAAGGTCTCCCGTGGGACGGCATCGCCCGGCACCTGCCGGGTTGAATGCTTCCCCTGACACAGATCCACTGGCAAGTCGCTCTGCGTTTCTGTGGTACTTGGGTCTTTGAACTCACCTCTCAGACGTTCTGGAGGAGCACCGGGCATACTGCAGCTTTCCTTCAGCAAGATGGGGCCAACCTGCACAGAGAGAAAAGGGCTCCTGGGTTAGCAGGGCGATCTCCACCGGGAGCCGCTGCCGGCCCGCCCTGGCCGGGACTCGGGCGCGGCGCCCCTGCCCGCGGGGAGCGGGGCCCGTGGGCCGGGCCGGGGCGGGCTCGGTGCCGGGGGCGGGGCGGGTGCCGCCCGGCCCCACAGCCTCCATTTTGCAGTGTAGCTGTGGGAGGGAGGCCGGAGGCTCCGCAGGTTTACCCTCAGGTGAGACGGCTCGGGGGTGGGGGGGGAAGGAGTCGGCGGGCCGCGACTGGCGCGCCCCTCGCCTCAGGCCCCGGCCCGGCCCCGCCGGCTTCTCCTCACCCACCGCCTCGGGTGGGGGAGCGGCCGCCGGCCCCGCTGTGCCCCGCGGCAGGGGTGTGCTGGCGCCCGGCGCGACCCGAGCGGCAGCCCGGGGCAGGGCTCCCCGTCCGCCAGCTCGGGGCTGGGCAGGTGCCCGGCCGAGGGAGCCGCCGGCCCGCCCGCCCCGGAGCGCCGAGCCACACCGCCCCGGCCGGGAGCCTGCCCTCCCGGTGCGGAGCGGGGTGCGAGGTCCCGGCCGCCTCGGGAGAAGTAGGGAGATGAATACCTGCCGCCGCGCCGGAGGGCTCGCTGCGCCCGCCCGCGGCTGGCGGAGCGGGGTACGTGACCGCCCTTCCCGAAACAGGGAGGGGCGGGGCGGGGGACGGCGGCGGCTCCACCGCGGTCCTGTAAAGGCTCTGGGGGCGGGGGCGGTGCCGGCGGGGGCGTCGCGGCTCGGGGCCTGGGCGGGCCCGGGCGGTGCCTCCCGCGCCCCGGGGTTGGCGGGGCCGGGCGGCGGCGGCAGCGGCAGCAGCGGGGAGGCTTCTCTGCTGTCACCTGCCCAGCTGCGGCCCGGCACGGCGGGTTTAGCGCGGCCCCTGATGTTACGCCGTCAGAGCTGCATCTACCAGCCACCCCAGAAAAAGGAGCCTCCCCTCCCCGATTTCGGTTTTTGCTGGCAGAGGGAGCCGGCGGGTGTGCGGCGGCCCGCAGCCGCCCTCGGCCGGCGCCGCCGCTGACTCAGCCCTGGGCGGGCAGCGACAGCCCCTGGGCCGCGCCTTGGGCCCCGGCCGGGGAAAACGGGGTGCGGATTAAAATCTGCCGGGAGAATCTGTTGCTATTTTGGTTATAAAAGTAGTAACATCAGAGCCGGTGTTCTGCCTGAGGATGCTTGTGCTGGAGATAAGTGAGGCCATGTGCAACGGTGGCGGCAGTCCAGTGTTTACTGAGTACTTAATATTGTGCAAGTGACTTAAATTATCTCCTGGAAAACATATTTGCATACTGAAAGAGATTTCAGTAAATATTGCTTCTGGTCATAGTAAGTTTTGAAGTGACTCTTGTGTCAGAGGCAAGTCTGAAATCCTAATTTAGCATCATGTCCATCTAGTTATAAAACGCCTGAAGTATTTGAAGCACTGATCCTTACTTGACCCTTTTATTACTCTAAAGATTTTTTTTTTCTTCAAATAATAAAAAAATTTGGCTAGATCAAGCAAATTCAAACAAAACATTTTTTATTTTGTTTTTGTAATTCAGAAGAATGACCAATAGGAATCAAAAGTCTTGTTACGAGGGGGATGATTAAATGAAGTACCATAAGCTTTAGTACCTGGGCCAAAAGAACTTACATCACAAATTAAATCCTAGAAAAGGAACGAATACAACAAAAGTAAGGAAAGCATTAAACAATTTACAGGTGCACTGTAAGTCACAGGTTTACATGGGTGATTAATTTGCTAATCAAAAATATGACAGATGGCTTGTTTACTTGAAAATGAGATATTGGAAACTCATGCCTTAAAAAGCCTTTTGCCAGAATGTGTTTGCTGGTAAATCAGAGACAGAGGTGAAAACATAAATTAATTCAAAATTACGTATCCTACCAATAAGTCTAAAATTTGGTGTATGTTAATAGGGTTAAAAGATTGCTGGGTCCCATTTATTGTACAAATTAAACTCTTTACAGCTGTGGAAACAGCTGGGTTTCTGTCACCAGCTGATGATTTTGCATCATGAAAAACGTAGTAAGTTGTACAGTGGAAATGATGCAGTGCACCTCAGTGAGTTTTGCAGGCTTAACAATCCTGTCTTCTTAATGGTATAATTTTTGTTGAATTACATGAAGCTGAAAAGCTGAAGAAGTTTTTCTTTGTTTTTTAATACTCAGTTTCACTAACAACAGTATTTTCCTTTAAGAGTGAAACTGAAATCGGAAGGAAGTGTTGCTGGTCATCTTGTTCCTGAAAGGAGTTACAATTAGCGTTAAAGTCAGAAATAATAAAAGAAATGTGCTGCTGAAAGCCAGATTTGAAGTCCATTCAAGCAGCTGTCAATAATAAATACTGTACAGCTACTGGTGTAAGGTATTTCTTCTTAGGGAAATAGCCATTAGCAGTGTCTGTGGTTAAAGCATAGATTTACAAATACAGCTCATGTTGTTCTTTCACCTTTATTTATTTGCAAGTGATGATCCAAGTTTATCAGTGTGAGACTGGATAGCTGTGCTTCTCTGCAAGTTGGTTTTGGCTCTTATTTGAACTAACTTTTGAAAAGTTTTAGTGTTTTCTACATCAAGTCTTGGTTGTTTAATTCTCTGACCACCTATTGCCTTAATGGTCCAACACAGTAAGTGTTCTGCTTTCAAATCCATTTAGTTTGGCCAGTGAATACCTAGAAATGTGGATAATCATCTGCTGTATTGCATTCATTTTTACATTCCCCATGTCCTTTGATTTGTGCCCCTAAGGTGCATACTGTCTTAGAAGCATGCTGTGAGTAACTCCCACGCCCTGATCAGGGAATCCATCTGGTTTGCACGAACATGATTTTTTTTTCCTGCCTTTAAATGTTTCATAACCTGGCTAACGGCCTCAAAACTCCCTGCCCAACTGCTAGGCAACACGGGGGATGATCTTGTCCCGCTCTGTTCCTAATTCCCAAAGCCCCTCTGTTAAAAATGGGACTAAAATAAAGAGTTACTGGCAGGAAACAGAAATCATCTACAGAAATCAAGTAATGCTGGGGGATTGCACGTGTTTCTATCAGGTTATCCTTTTGCACGGGACTGATAGGGTACGGCTCTTCTCACAGGAGCCACCCCTGTGAGCGGAGGTGTGCAGGGCGATGGGGGACGGGCGCTTGGTGCAGTTCAGGACTGGGGTGCTGCTCCAGCCCGACCCTTCTGTTGCTGTTCTGGCAAAGGGCTCAGCCCCCTCCGGCTGGCACCTCGGAGTGTATCCTGTATTGCAGAGTTCTTTTTGGAGGTTCAAGCCTCTTACCATGCTTCGATGTCTGTCTGACCCTAAATAAGAGCAGTAGTTACTTACATAGTTGAAGATGCCTGCCTTCCGAATTCTGCTTGCTATGGCCATGTGTATGAAAAAAGGGAAAGGTTTTGTGGGTTTAATAGCTGGCAAGTACTCCTGAGCAATTCTAAATCTACTAAACATATTGTTTAAGTGGTTTAACAGGTAATTAGCAAGAAAATAACTACTACAAACTCATAAATAGTGCCTTGACAGTGAAAATACCATTTTTTTCCCAGAATGTCATACCCGGGTTATCCCCCTTCTGGTGGCTACCCTGCTTTCCCTGGTTATCCTGTAAGTATGGTTCTTGAATGTGTTGCATTGCTAATCTGTTTGTGTTCTGTGAATACCCCTTCTTCCTGTGTTCTCTTTGTGTGTAAATAGTAGCTGTCAGTTCATATACAGTATTCTCTAGAGATTATGGTCTTTGTTTCATATATATCTTTGAGGATGACTTTACAATTGTTGTCTTGTAAGAATTCCAAGAAGGAAGTTGTTTTTTTGTTTTTTTGTTTTTTTTTCATGTTGCCTATTGTTCCAGAAAGGTGTTTGATTGTTTGGTCTTGTTTTAGTTTATCTTTGTCTTGTGAGTGTGTGTTTGTTTTTTTGTTTTTTTTTTTTTGTTTGTTTTGTTTTGTTTTGTTGTGGGTTTTTTTTTGTGTGTGTTTTTTTTTTTTTTTAATATAGCTAACTATCTCAGCAAATAATTTTTTTAAAGTATCAGTAGTTTCTACAAAAATATGAGGGTCTTTACATAGAGGGTCAGAGGTAATCTCAGAACCAGTCTCTACCAAATATTCTGCATACCCATATCCCAGGATGTACAAAGATCCCGAACAAAATTAAGTGGCTGTTACTCTCAGGAAGAGCTTGGAATGCTTTTACTCAAGTAGCCCAGCTTTCATACAACACCAAGTAAATATTTTTCTGAGGATAAAGGACACTGTATCTTGACTTTAACCCCCTATCCTTCAGCCAGAGGACTTTGTTCCACCTTCAGCCCATGACTGAATGGACTAAGAATTCCAATGAAACTTAATGGAAGGCTGTAAGGTATCAGGTGTGGCTGGTACTGCTGTCTTTTGATATGTCTGTATCATTTTTCAAAGTTAGATGCAACTATGTGCTTTTTAGCATGGCACTGATCATACTGTAATTGTGGGAATTTTATATGGTCTGTGTTTCATGTAGTACAGAACTAGACTTAAGCATGGAGCTTGTCCTGGATCCCATTAAGATACTGAAAAGCTAGAAATACGTGCAATATATATAAATACATGCGTACAAATGCATGCAATAAAATCTCCAATTATTTTGCTTTACAATTTACTCTTACTCCCTCTGAAACACTGAAGTCAGTCAAACTAAAGACAAACATGTTAGAAACCAGACTTTCTTAACTCTAGGGTTTCTTTTTCCCCCTCAAGGTTCTGCCGAGCCCTCATGATTATAGCTGTAACTTAACTACATCTGAAAATATTTTTTTTTCTTGGATAGCATCTAAAATATAGGCAACTTCAGTGGATTAATTTAAAAGACCCTTTAGATTCCATATCCATGACTCTAGACTTCCTAGACTCATTGATGATGCCCAAAGTGATAACCAGTGCAAAAAAACAATGTGAAATTATTTTCTTCTACAATAGTGATAGTTATCTGAGCAGGGCTTTTGAGGATCCTAATTTTGGATTTGTGAATCTAAATTCCATTGAAAAGTTTTTGTTGAGTCTGGCAGAGAAACGTTAGACTGCCACTGGGGAAGAGAATATTATATAGCCTGGGCACAGTAATCTGGGGATAGAAATCTTGAGGCAACCAAACCTGAGGAGAATGTTTGAGCTAGACTTTACTCCTTTGAAGTTTGTTTCTGTTTTCTGGGCTCAAGAATGAGTGTGCACTGTATGCAGTGTGTGACCCACTAGCTAGTCAGTAAAGAGGATTCCCAGCAAGTGAGTAATAAGTCCATACATTATGCTTCGTTATGAAGCTGATTTTAAATACTTGGTTTTTAAGATCAAGTGTATGACTTTTAACTTACAGGGTTTTCCCTTAGAGATCCTGGTCATTCACATAAATAGTTCTAATGTACGTTAATGCTAATAGCAACCTTTGTGGTATGACTGGTAAGTCATACATGTAGCAAAACAAAGGCAAATAGATGTTTGACTTGTTCTTTTTATTTAAAACCTGTGATAGGTGTTCAGTCTGACTCAGTGGTCCAAATTTAGTCACTGAATGTCCATGCTTTATAACCTGCATACCAAAGGAAATGGAAGAAACCCCAACACCTCTTGTAAGTTCTCACTGGTTATGCAAGAGAGGTAGAGGTTTCAAAGATACTAAACTCTTAAAAGTCCCATAAAAACAGGAGGTGAGCTCCTAATGATTCACAGACAGCAAGCCTAGGTGAGCTCACCTCCTACTTATGAGGGACAGAAGTAGCAGCTTTCCAGTAAAGAACCAGGGGTCCTGCTGACTGACAAGTCAAACGTGGCTCAGCAGTGCATTGCCCCGGGGGGGAAGGCTAATGACATACCAGGCTGTAGCAAAAGTGAAGCCAGCAGGTCAAGGGAAATGATTATTCCTCTGTGCTCAGTGCTCGCAAGGCCACGTCTGGAATATTGGGTCTAGTTGTGGCCTCCCACTACAACAGAGACAGAGAGAAACAGGAGTGTCCAGGGAGGGCTGCTCTCCTGGAGAAGGCTAGTGGAGATCTGTTCAGTCTTCTGCTATGTAAGAAGGAGCGGTAGAGATATTGGAGCCAGACGCTTGTCTGAGGTACACAGTGAAAGGGCAGCCAACAACAACCACAGGCTGTAATGGTAATTTGATTTGATTTGAGGAAAACATTTTTCACCGTGAGAGTAATCAGACACTGGAACAAGGGCCCAGAGAGGCTGTGGATTTGCTGTTCCTTGGATGTACTGAAAGCTTGACAGGGCCCTGCGTGACCCCATCTAACCCCGAGGCTGGCCCTGCTCTGAAGGCGGATGGGATGAGAGGCTGTCCGGAGGTGCCTTCCTCCCTGCAGGACTCTGATGCCGTGTCAACACGGGAGACGCATCAGAAAACCCAACCAGGAGGCCCCCATCCAGGCTTCAGGAATTCTGCTGCTGCTGCTTCAACTGCTGAACCTAATTATATAATTCACATTATTATGCATGTGGACATTGTGGTAGCTTGAGAGTTTTCACTCTGATGTCCTGTTAGCGGGCGTACAGACATCCCGTTTCTGTGTTTCAGCCGACAGGACAGGAGTCTGTCTATCCGCCAGCCGGTCAGTACTCCTATCCCGCTGTTCCCGGAGGATACCCTCCGGCAGGAGGAGGGACCTATCCTGCAGCACCACCCACTGCCGGGTACCCAGGGGCAGCAGGGTATCCTGCCCCGGGGGGCTACCCTGCCCCCGGGGGCTACTCTGGAGCTCCCCAGGCTGGAGGAATGCCACCTTATCCTGGAGGTAAGATCCTTTGTTAGAGTACCCCTTGGGAGCGATTTCTGGTGGAACCATTCCCTGTGCTTGGTAGAAGTAGTAAAGAAAAGTAGCTTTGTTCAGTGATCAGTTCAGGCAGCCAGCCAGGTTGCTATCGAGCAGTTAATACCTGCATGCTGATGGCAGGGCCCTGATGGTTCTGGGCCGCTGCACAGACACAGCGAGATTAGTCTCTCGCAGAGCTCTGCTCAATAACCTGGCTCACGGTGTGTCAGAAGTCAAATACAAAATGTTAGGCGTGCTAAAGTCATCTTCTCCTAGCTCCTACAGGCCCTGGCTTTGGTGTGCCTCCCGCTGGCCCTGGCTTTGGTGGCTATCCACAGCCCCCTGCCCAAAGCTATGCTGGAGGTGGACCAGCACAAATTCCAGGTATGTCATACATAAGAAACTTGAAGCATCCAAGGTTAAACCAACACATCCCAGGATAGGTAGTAACAAATGAGGCCTTTACCTCTGTTACTTTTAGCTGTTGAGGTTTGTGTACTGTACGCCTCCTGCCACCTTTCTTTGACAAGACCACTGAAGGGCTGGTGAGAACCATCTCTAGAGGTGCTACATCCAAAAGGGATGGCTGCCATGATGTAGTGGTTTAGGTGTTTATCCTTCTTCAGACTGCAAGTATCTGATGACAACTGTGAAATCCAGAGTCCACATTCAATGAGTATCTAGCTGTTCTGTTAATTTCAAAGAAATGGCTGCATTTTTCAGATCTGTCTGTTCATGGTGATCCCTGGCCTAGTGGGGGAAGTGGAATGCACACAATTGCTTAAAAATGGTGCAGTGTTTTTAATGCTCTGAGTGGTCAGTTACCATCAAGATGATTTTTGTTCTGGAACGCATTAGCTGTGTTGGCAAGAAATTCAAAGCAGCAAAACCTTTTTTTTTACTGATTGTTTTGTTAACTCTACTAAGCAAGCTGCTGTTAAAATTGTAACAATTGTACATATGTATTATGGATAAAAATAAAATTCCAGTACAAAAAAACGTAGTTTAGCTTTTGTATTCATGGTGCATTTGATCACAATATGAGATTCCTTCAATTCTTTCTGCACCAGTGAATTCTTAATATTTATCTTTTATTTGCTAGATACTTTCATGTGTATAATATGACTCTAAAAGAGAGCACAGGACACACATTCTTCATTTGCATTAGCTATCTTGGCTTTTGTCAAAGATAGCAATATTTAATAAGGAGAGATCCTTCCAGTTCCCACAGCACCAGTAAATTTAGTATTTTTAGAATTGCCTTGCTAGTGTACGTACCAGCATGCGCCTGTGATTGCTTCTTCCCATCATTCCCAAGGGCAAGAAGTGCAGTTACTGATTATTACTTAGGAAACAGGTTTTGTGCAGTGGTAGGTCTGTAAATGGCTTTACTTTCAGATTAGATCGCATTTACATAATAAGAGGACAGCTAATTAATTCCTTTTATCTTGTTCTTTATTTTCAGTAGGATATCCGGGTGGACAAGCATCATCACCAATGCCTGGTCCGGTACGTGCTGTATCCTCTGTAATCAACCTCACGTGGCTTCTGTAGTTTTAATGTTTTTACAACTGGTTTTCAACAATTTACAGTGTGTTCTGCATCAAGAACTCCCAGCTACACTCAGAGTACAACCTGAACAAAATCATAACCCTGTATCTGTGTGTACTTGCTCATTGATTAGATCATCATCTATACAACTGGGTAAAAGCATCGCTTTGACATTGGTGGGCCAAAGCTGTTCAAAACAACTAAATGTTGCCCTGATGCTGTGTTAGAGAAAAAATGGGGAACTAACAGACACCTCCTTCTGAAGTACTGATTCCAAAGTTGTGATTTTAATTTGAATTCATATTGTGCAGGATAGCTAGTTACATGTGACGACTTTTTTCAGCCTGCAGCAGTGGTTCAGTGTACCCAGGGCACAATTCAAGCTGCTCCAAACTTTGATGCTGGAAGGGACGCAGAAATTCTACGCAAAGCTATGAAGGGGTTTGGTAAGTAAGCCATAGAAGCTTAGATTTTTGTTGAGCTAACTTCTTACCGTCATTTTGTCCTTTTCTTCAATTTTCATTTAACCATACATTTTTTTTCTCCCCAAGCTTTTCAAAAGTTACACTTTCAAAATGATTCAGGCAATTTAGTAGACAAAGTTACATAGAAAATGTGGCAGACTTAAATGGTAGTCATTTATTATGTAACTATGCCCAAATGCAAGACTACAAAATGTATAGTCTTGGAGAGATTATTATGGGTTCTTACATGAAATTGCCCTTTTGTTTCCAAGGAACTGATGAGCAGGCTATCATAAATGTCGTTGCTAACCGCTCCAATGATCAAAGGCAAAAAATCAAGGCAGCTTTCAAGACTATGTACGGCAAGGTATGTTCACTAGTTCTTTGAATCAGTAAACAAAAGCAAACTTTCAGTGGCAACTTTAACTGCCTGATAGCATTTTAGTCCTTGGGACTGGCTTGGGCATTTTTTAAATGCACTTCTTTTGGTTATATTCCTCGTGTATCGGGGGACATCTGGTATTTAACACGGTGGTGTCCTGATACCTGGCAGGAGCAGGCGTGGGGGAAGGTTGGGGGCTGGCTCCGTCCCTGATCAAACACGAAGCTTCTCTGCTTTTGTAGTACTTGATAGATAGAAAATTATCACACTTGAACTGTCCTTGTATTCGTGTCAAACTACCGAGTTTTTTACGCACACAAAGCAGCACTGAAATCTGTTTTTTTGTAAGAAACAAACAGAAACCGGTTGGAGATTTGTTAGTGAATAAAAGGCTAGGATAATTGAATTTCTTCCCTCTGTCATTTTTGCAACTTAAAAGTGAAATTTTATAGTTGTGGCATTTTTCAGGACCTGACTAGGTCTTAATTAGTGAGGAGATAATGGAGAAGAGTTGAGCTGTCAAACTTTCAGACAGAGGGAAGTTCTTTATAAGAAATAAACCAAAGCTTTAAAGGAAAAACAGCACAAAGGTATAAATCAGTCACAAAAGTAAGTTCTAGTTTGATCTTTTTTCAGTATATAATCTACATGGCTAACACTCTCTAAAGCCCTTTTTGTGTTTATAATTGAACAGGATTTAATTAAAGATCTGAAATCTGAGTTAAGTGGAAATGTGGAAGAATTGATTCTAGCATTGTTCATGCCTAGCACCTACTACGATGCTTGGAGTTTACGTCATGCAATGAAGGTACAGTTTTCCTGTGAACACAATAGTTCAAAAACATCTTAAAATGCTCACCTAAGAAAAGAGAATACCCGATCCCTGCATTGTTGAAAAATCCTGTAGTGGCAAACACATTTCAGGACCATGGGGCTTAAAACACTTTTCTGCTGAGCACCCCCGTTCCAGCCCATTTCTGCAGGATTAGCCAATTCAGAGCAGCTGTCCATCCAGCAGAGGATGAAATGCTGCAGGACAGAACTTTCCCACTTGGTCATAATTTCTGCTAGAAGCTAGAAAGGGCCAGGTCCTGTTAAAACTGTAATCACTCTTTAAATTGAAGGTACATACCTCTCCTTACCAGGAACAAACCATTGTTACTGAAAGGTATTTTTGGATTATCCCAGGTTTTTTCCAAAAGGACAACAATGATAACGTATTTTCTTAAGGACAGATGATGCATGTATCTGTTCAATTATTAAGACTGCATTAGAGATTAGGTGAGTGAGTTGACTTAAACTTTTAACTTGGTACATCCAGTTTACCAGAATTTCTTGCTTGTTTGAGCTCAGCAGCTAGCAGGTGGCGGATACTGGAAACAAGGAACTTAACCTGTTCATGAATGCAGACCTTCTAAAGAATGTGGAGGTTAAATGGAGATCGGGCTTTAGGGGAGGAGTAGCCACTCTTGACCATCTAAAAAAATTTATAATATTAGCTAGAAGCCTCACATAGATCCACTCCTATCTAATTGTTGCCTGAATAGAGATGACTGTGCCAGTAAGATCTCATTGTACACAGACCTCACAGTTGATTTTTGTTCTGGGGAGAAGGAAGCAGCCACATTTGGAAGAGGGAACACACTTGTGCAGTGACCAAAACAGAATTTATGTGCGTATCTTTGGCTTTAGTGATTATCAGAAGGCTCCACCTTCTTCCACTATGTTTCTAGATTAAGGCTGCCAAAAGAATTTCCTTCCTAAACCATTTCCCAGTTAATTTTGGTTGATGTCACTGTCAGGGATGTATAGTTTGGGGGTATTTAACTAGTGCAGAATTGAATGTTGGCGGAATCTTCATTCCAAGCGTACAGAAGACTTCATGCTTTCATACTGCAAGGATACTGTTCTTATAATGTGGATTGTATTAAGTGTTGAAATAACAGATGACTGCTTAATTTCACAGTTGAAAATTGAATAGGTAGTCCTTTGTAGTTGTGCTCTCTTTTCCTCTGCCTACAGGGAGCAGGCACTCAGGAGAGAGTGCTGATTGAGATCCTTTGCACAAGGACAAACCAGGAAATACGAGAAATAGTGAACTGCTATAAATCAGAATTTGGAAGGGACATTGAACAAGACATCAGAGCAGACACTTCAGGACACTTTGAACGATTACTTGTATCTATGTGCCAAGTGAGCTTTAATTTTTTTTTCTGTTTTTTTTTTTTTTTTTGGTAAGATAACGGTGTACAGTCTGACTGATGCACGTAGTCATAATGGCTCCATAAATAAATTGCCTGTGTATGCTTAGCAAGAGATAGATTTTTAAGAAATTAGCCCTGGGCCATTAATTTTTTCCCTAATGACAAGGTATGACACTTCAGTCCTTCCTCAAGGAAGAGACACTTCCTATCTACAAATCTATGATGAATTGTGTAACCCAAGTTAGCACCCTATATTCACCTCAGAGAATTTATGTGTAAATACTTTATTGTGCGTATGTGATCTAGTGGTACTATAAAGCAGTGCTCCACACTGCTGTTAAAGCGAGACGCTTTTTATTTTTTGCATACGTTAACAAAATAATTTGGGTGAATCTGAGAGGATAAACTTTATGGTATGTGGAGTACCTGTGAGAATCCCTACGAACAAGCTAAGAGGTACCATAGGGCAAAACTTACCTCCCAAGTTACACCACTGCCTTCCTTCCCTTGACAACACAGACTTAGGGAGGTGCTACTATTGAACTCAAGCAAACACTGGAGTTTGCTTTATCCCGTATCATTTACGAAGGCTCTTTTTGTGTTGAAGAATAGTAACTTGCAATTACTCATGTTGGGAAGAAATACGTAGTAATGCAACTTTCCACATATCTCTGATCAATCTGCCTATTTGCTGTTAGAATTTCTATGACTCTTCTCTATCTCATTTGCCTCTACCTTTGTGAGAGCTCAGCTATGCACTATTATTGGGATTGAAAGGCCAAAATCCACAAGAAAGCAAGCCTTGAGAAGCTCATGCTGCTAATGTTTATTTTGATAAATCCAGAGTTTACAGTAACTGACAACCACATCATTTAAATATTATATTAACCACTACAGATACAACAGTATTTAGGAGCATGTATTCAGCCTACTCAGCCAGTATATTTAGCAACATCCATTCATGCACTGGGCAACCAAAAAAAAACCCAAAGCACATAAAATGTCATATAAGCCCTACTGACATATTACAACCATAGTAAGTGCTTTCTGGAGACATTTTTACTTGAAGTTAGCAAATTCTAAATAAAATAGAAGACCTGAGAAATTTCAGGTGTGCATATTCAGTAAGGTAATTCATTAGTTCATTTGGGAAGATTCTTTGCAACTTGAAGCCTAGAAACAAATCAAGAGAAAGCTTACGTTATTAAGTAAAATAGAGAATTAAGCACAGTACCTAATTAGAACTATGAGATGGTATGTATGGGTGAAACTAGCTGAGTCAGTGTATCTACAGTGTAAAGCCTGCCCTACAGATCGGGTTCTGGGCCATTTCTGTATTTGTTGCCTGTAAGAAATATTAAACCAAAGAGTAGTTTTAAAGTGATGTGATGTATTTCAGACTGGTATTACTCTTTCTGCTTCAGGCTTTGAACATACATGCTTGGGGTTGCAAGCAGTTAAAGCATAGCCTTCTCTGTGTAATTTCATTTTACATCTCTTGTCTTTGCTTTTAGGGTAATCGGGATGAGAATCAAACTGTGGATTATCAAAAAGCTCAAGAAGATGCTCAGCGTCTGTACCAGGCAGGTGAAGGAAAACTTGGGACTGATGAATCTTGCTTTAATATGGTTCTGGCAAGCAGAAGTTTTCCCCAACTGAAAGCAACAGTTGAGGCGTACTCAAGGGTAGGAATTCTTCACTGATTTCACTTCAGTGTATTTTAAGTTAAGGTTCCAGCTGTTACTGCTTTTCATTATCTGCATATTAATCTCATTTATTTGCAGATTGCTAATCGTGATTTATTAAGCAGCATTGACCGAGAATTTTCTGGAAATGTGGAACGTGGTTTGAAGACTATTTGTAAGTGACATGTTCTTCCCTCCCCTTATCCCTTAGGAATTAAGCATTCTAAATGTAATTTAAGAATCCGATTCAACAATGGCCATATGGCCAATGAACATACAATCTGAGACTCTGATAGCAAAAAACTACCTTAAATTATTCAGATTATTCACTTTACACTTAATTGGAGAAAATAACCATCCAGCATGAGGAAGTCAGTTTGAAACAAGACAAGGCTACCTAGGAACTACCTGTCACTTCTCTGGGAAGGCAGGCAGCTCCACAGAAACAAGGGTCACTGGTTAGTGCTGGTAGCTGTATTTTTCAGAGTTCTGCAAAATTATGGGAGTACCAGGGTAACAGAGCCGTGACTTGGGTTGTGTGACACCTCAGCAGAGGCAGCTGAGCCACCCCCGCACATGATCTCAACACCAATAGGAACCTACTTTAGGCACAGTTCCCTTTCCACCTCCTCTTCCCCACCACCACCTACCCACAAAAAGCTCAGCATTTGCTAAGGAAGACTTCAGCAAAATAGATGACCTGTTTTGAATTCACTTTTTCCTTCTGACTTGTTAGAAAGCAGTTCAAATTTAGCACAATTTGCTGATAGTGAGAATCAGTCTGATTTACTAATAATAGGAAATCTGCAGGCACTAGTCCTACCAATGCTTACCAAAACGACAGCATTTCTGTAGCCAAAATGGATAAGCAAAAACTTCCCAGGCTATTTTCTGCTAAAGGGTTTTATGGGAAAAATTCAGCTCTGAGAATCATGTAAAAGAATAAAGGCTCGTCTCTGTAAGTGAACAATCTAACTGAAACATGATCCATTCTATAGCTACTACAGTGAGAACTCTTTACAGATGTACTTCTGTTAGTGAGATTCTAGCAATGGAACATGAGTAAAATACCTTCTATCCCAGAACCAGTTATCTAAGGAGAAGAACTATTATCTGTTTGAGAATTAAAGTTTCAGCCAGCTTTGAAGAACGCTTCCAGAGAAGTTAAATGCTAACAGCCATAAGTTTCTGTGTGAAGGAGTAACTCATTTGGTTGGCCTGAAAATAAGCTTAGCTCTGTAAAACAGTTCCTGTAATTCACAGTACCTGTATCTTCACAAATACCTCCCTCTAGCTGTCTACAGCAAAAATCCTGAATTGATCCTGCCAGGTATCGCTATACAGCATACAACACTGGAACTAATCTTAAAAATATACTTTATTGCAGTGCAATGTGCTTTAAATCGCCCAGCCTTTTTTGCAGAAAGACTTTATTATTCTATGAAAGGAGCTGGCACAGATGATTCTACCCTCATCAGAATTATAGTCACTCGCAGTGAGGTAAGAAACTTTCTCTTCTGTCAATGTCAGGTGTAGCAGAAAGCTATCTACCCCAACCAGCTTTTCACTTAGTCCTTTTGTAGCTGTAGAAATCATGTATTGCAATGAAGCTTCTATGGGGTTAAGATTTAGAGTAGCACGTTCATTTGTTTTAAAGCCAGCTTTTATATAGGAATTTAATTATCTCTGCCTAGACAGCAATACTGCTTGTCTTCCTTAACTGTGGTTGCCTGTCCCCGTAGCAGATGAGCACGAGGACAGCACAGTCCTAACAGAGCAAGGGATGACCGCTAGACTCTCCTTAGAGGGACCAGCTGGCTTGTCACACGTGCAGAGGTCGTCAGTCACACATGTCACCCTTGGCATGTGTTCTCTAGTCCATGAGGGAGGAGATGCAGGGTGACTGTCTAGGAGTTAAACACAGTGTATGCTTCTAAGTTTTGTGCCTTTTTTTTTTTTTTTTTTTTCCTTTGCATAGATTGACCTTGTGCAAATTAAACAGATGTTCACACAAATGTATCAGAAGACTTTGGCTACAATGATAGCAAGTGATACAAGTGGTGATTACCGGCGTTTGCTGCTGGCAATTGTTGGTCAATAGAAGAGGATTCTGTTTTGTCTTTTTTAAAACAAACCGAAGGACATGTAACATGCTTTATGCAGACACTGACTATCCTTGTATGTAAAAGAATAATTTTAAACTTTGTATAATCAAATATGCCATCTTGATGATTCATTAAGCTTGTTGCACTTAACTGCCTTAATTTACAGCACATAATATTCTTTATTGTATAATAAAAGATGTATCTTGTCTATTAGCCCTAAGCCTTAATCCTTTTGACCCACACAAACCCACCTCCCCTCTGCCAGACTCCAGCATGATTAAAGTTTGTCTCTGTGAATCTCCAGCACGCAGCAGCTTTCCTGAAATACAAAATCGCTGAGCTAACTGTGGATGACAAAAAAAGCCTGAGGCTGTGATGTAAAGCATTTTACACCCTCCCTCTTTAATGTCTTTATATTGTAATGTTGAAAAACATGCAAGTGCTCAGTTTAAGTCACATTACACTGACAGTTTAAGGACCTTAGCAGAATCTGATTACACCCCCTTTAATTTCTTAAATTATTTACCATTAGTGGTTAGTTACCATTATGCTTAAGGCAGCAAGGCAAAGGAGAAATCATCTCAGATCTAATTTTGAAATATCTCCTTGTAAAAGAGTGAGTTATACAGCAAATGACTGAGCAACGAAAAAAGCCAGTATCTAAATGCTAACACTACAGAACATGTGTAAATACAAACTCAAAGTGATTGTGACTTGGACAATATAAATGACTATGTGGATGTTTTTAAAGACTTTAAAAAGAACAGCTTGATTAGCACATTTGTTTTTTTAGAAAGCCACTGAGAATCTGTCTCCAGCCATAAATGTAACAGAGGCTGCAAGTCCAGCAGCTAGCAATGCGTTTCCTAACAGTTCTAAGCAATGCTTTAACAAATAACGATTGTATTAGAGGACACCCTCACACAAACAGCATAAACCCTATTTCTATTATCACTCAAACAAAAAGAGCTAGGGCTGGTAGAGTTCATTGTAATATGACAAACCTTTCACTCTTACACAGCACGTACATAAAGGTTTTTGCAAAACGGTACTAGATACCAAATTTACCATACCAAAGTATTTCACTTGCATCAATGTTCTGAAACCTAAATATGACTTTAGACTATGAACTTTTTCTGATATCAAACTTTAAAAATACAGTTTGGTTTAAAATTCCTGGGTCACATTAAAATTAATTATTTAAAATATGAACAATAGATGGAAGTTGTTTTGGGGAGAGTAGCAGACATTCCACTCTGCGTTACTTTGGTCATCCTTGGTGCCAGTATCCACTGATATATAGAGATACATATATGTGTATATATATATATCTGTCAATGGCTTTCCAAGCTTGACCAAGATTCTCATAAGCTTTGGTTCTTATTTCTTTGTTCTTGAGTAAACTTCCTTACAGGTGAAGAAGCTTAGCATTTAATAATGCGTAGTAGTGTATCTAGATCCTTTTATGTGACTAGAAATCCCTACCACTTCACCTGTCATTCAAAGCAGAATATTGATTAAGTTTGGCTCATACATACTACTACTACAAGAAAATGACTAGATGAACAGGGTTCTATGTCCTAATGACACTCACTTGTTTTGTGGCAAAAAGTTATTTTCATTACATGCTAGTAACAAAGAACTGTAAGATTGATAATGAAATTGTACCAAAAATAGGCAAGGAAGGAAGAAACAGATACTGTCTGTCTTGCCTCTGAAAAAGCCTTCTTTTTCTATGTAACATAATGGTGGTTCAAGAGGAAACGTTAATAAAAAGAAAGCTGTTATGGGTGTTCAGACTCAAACCAGAAGAGACCTACCTCTTCCTAAGAGAAAAACAGCGCCAAGCCCAACCATTTGTCTTTCTGCTTGAGATGCCAATCTTCACAATTCAATAGATATGACTATAGCAACTTTTCCATTTCACAACTGGAATTTAACAAGCTTTGAAATGAAAGCTGTTGTTTAACACTGTACTTTTGGGTGGCAAAGTGTGTTTGTCATTAAACTAAAGGTAGGTAGGCTCTGCGAACGAGGCTGGTCTTCCCTGTCTGGCTCACTAGGTGGCAGCAATTTTCTCGACAGCAGAAGTCCCTGCTTTAAAATAAGGCCCCTCCAAACCTTTCTCGGGCATGGTCTGTACTTTGGCTTCTCCATTTCACTAAAATTCATTTACATTTCTCAGAACAGTCAGAACCCCCAGCCCCCCTCTGATTACTCCCCCTCGCTGCCGGTGCCCTAAAGATAAGAGCACCACAGAGGATGGTTTAATCCATCCGTTCAGGGAAGAAGTGGCCTCTTCCCTGGGACCCACACGGTGCCTGTGGAGCCTGGGACAGCACTGACTTCTCCAACTCAAACCCGGAATCAGCCAGGCCTCTCACAGTTTTTGCTACCTGTGTCCTTTGGCTGACAGAGCTGTTTCCAAGGCACCTCCCCATCCTACCCAAGAACAGACACATAAGGCTTTTTTTTTCCTCCTTAAAATGCTGAAAGCATAAAACAAGAGATGCAAACTACTTACAGTTTTCTGGGAGGGAGGATATCATTTCTTCTCCTCAACAATACAAGAATTAAAGATGGCTCCAGACTTCCACCTTCCAGAAACACAGTAGCAAAACATAAGTATTTACTTTCCAAACAAAGAAAACGCATATACATAATCCTGTTACCTGACTACTTGCTTAAAGGGTGACAGGAGACACACAGCACAAGAAAGCAGGTCAACCGCCCAAGGAATTTTCCTTTACAGCAGATCTGCCTTTGTATCTGGCAAAAACTACTACAATGGATACTGCAAGGGAATCTGCAAGGAAGCATCTTTGCAGCTGGGCACTTACTGCCGTGCAAGTATCAGAACCCATTCTCTACAATTACAATGAGGTCTTTCCAGATAAAGGCCAACTAGGTATTTTCTCCAACAACTCTAGCTAGTCAGAATACTCATCACAACCAAGATCTGAGTATCAAGTCATGAAAAATACTGTCCTGTGAGGTTTGGAAATTTCCAACTAGCACTTACAAGGAGGAAGGTACCATCATAATGTTCATCTTGTAAAATTTCAGTTGTACTTAGTAACATGTTTGTTCTGCTCTAATGAGACATATGCAGACTGTACATCTTGCAAGTGCAGGAGTGCTTCATAAAGAAATAAAAAAACTTACCATTTTTTAATTTGATCTTCTGCACTCAAACTTTGAGAAGAGTTTCCAATTAGAACGCATCTGCAATAAAGTAAAATCAAACATTAAATCTCCATTAGCAACAGTGTGTCACTATTACATTTCTTCTTAATTCTCATCCTGTTCTTGTCCTTACTTTAAAAAGAGTATTACCAAAGACTAAATCTGTATTGACTGTCAAAACAGGGCCCCCCATCTGCTCAAAAGGCAGCCCCAGCACACTTCACTAGTCTTTACAGTTCAGTTTAAACCAACACACAAAATGCAGCTATAATTAACAGCCTTTTGAGAATCAACTAACCCTGCTCTTACAAGTTTGTACAAACCAACAATGGATGTCCAGTTTAGCAGACAGAAAATACCTAGGTATTTTATTTATGAGAGAGAACTCAAAAGCAAATAAAAGAAGCAGGAATAACAGTTAAATGAAATAGCATTTACATTCAGCTAGTTCTCTGCAAGCCAAATCTGACCTTTTAGGCTATTTTTTCAATAGCTTGAATTTTGAAAACTATTTCTAAACAATTTTCAAGGTCATATTAGACCTACGTATGCCAAATAAAACCAATACACAATGATAGGAGCCGCAGCCCATGCACAAAATTTATTGTGTGCTACTGTTTATAAAATACTGGAATAGTTCAGAACATGCATAAAATTTCCAACTTAGGGGTATGTACAGATTGTACTTTATGGCAAACAAAAAAAAAAGTGGAGATGAACTCTAGTGACATAAGTTTCAAGTTGTGTTCCAGGGGATGAGAAGGACACGTAGCAAATGTCAAAATATATAACAAAGTACAGTGGCAATCAGTACAGTCCATTATTTGTGAACAAATTAGCACAGGGCTTCAATTTTTATTTTAACCGAGCAGTCCTGTAGATACCAAAATACATGCAGTCTCAAGTTTACACTTTCACTAATGCCTTAGCAGTTGAACAGAGCAATTGTTTACGCGCTGCTTTGCCTAAACAAAAAGTATGTCCGATACAGTTTCAGTTTCCTTTACAGATTTAAAAATTATAAAAAGCTTGCAGCTATTCAGCCCAGTGATTATTAGCTATTTATGCAACCGTAATACTCACAATAAACTAAAAGTACCCATAACATCTAGGTAACCTATAGATGTACATCATAGGTCTATATATTAAATATTTGCAAAATGAAAACATGCATACACAAAATACAATGCCAAGCTTTACAGACTTGATATGAATCAAAATTTACTTAAACAATGTACAAAGTTCAATTAAAAGTACCTTAAAATTAACACTTCCATATTTTTCTTACTTTTAAAATTAGTATATATAATATTTTTTTTTTTAAAATTCAAGGTGGGGAAGATTCTTGAAAAAGCTGGGCAAAAAAGTTTCTAAATTAAATATTTTTTTTTAAATCTGTGTTCAAGTAATAAACATTCCTACATAGAAATCTTCTGATAAGCTGTAACTAAAAAATACAGTGAATACAATATAGAATTAGCAACATCTAAGGAGTAAACCTGAGGTCAGCATTTTACAGAATGACCAACTGAGATTATTTTTTTTTTTTGGCATTTTTTTCTGTCTATTTAAAATACAGTTTTTGCAGCCTCAGAGATTTTAAGACCATTCTAATCTATCATTTTAAAGACATTTCATGAAACCGATGTCCATTAATAAATAGTTAGCTCTTAGGGTTGTATTTGAAAGTCTGATTTAAAAAAAAAACAAACAAACAAACTACCTCTACTGAAAGAAAAATCCCATTTGTAAACTTAAAAGTGTTGACAACAATAAGCATAAGATGCTAGTCTAGATGTGCTTTAGTGATAACAGCCCGGTTCTCTCCCCAGATCTCTTCCGAAGCTTCAGCAGCCAGTGAAGGACTTTGTGTAAGCAGGCGAGGCACGCTCCCAGGAGGCCGGGTCACCGTGACTCAGGAGGGGCTGTTGTCTCAAAAGCAGGATGGTCTTTCTTCAGCGGGATCAAGTCCGATGGGTTTCCACCTCATATTAAGTAGTCACTTCACGCGATCCCCCTGGCTATTGCATCTGTTGTCACATCAAAAAGCAGTAATCTAGGAATTCTCAGGCAAGACATGAGTGAGTAAACCAGAAGCTGACGTGGTCACTGTGCATTGTTGTTGCCAGTTCCATTGTTTCCATTGGCATTTGTTGTGTTTATAGTATTAATACCATCTTGCTGAAGAGCATCTTTTCTTGGTGGCATTCTCTCATTGATCCTATCCAAACCTTTTGCTTCTTCAAAACTGCAGATTTTATGTTGCGGAGAGAATCCTCGTATTGCTTAATAAAATGCAAATTTGATATGTCAGTAATGGAAAAATAAGTTGGAAGCATATACTTTTTCTAACAAATGATGTTTAAAAACAGGTAAAGAAATCAGCCAAAGAAACTTATGGCTCTGCAACTGTATTAGTAAAAGCTTCTCTAACCTGCTTTCCTGAAATGCTCAACGGCCACCATCATTTCAGTTTGTAACAAAAAGAACAAAGTATGGCAAATATTCTGTAAGTAGGAATCAAGGGGTTTAAGCCCACTTGATTGCTTCTGCACGTCCCTGGCGTGGCCAGCTATCAACATCAACTGCTTTTGCTGCCCAGTGCATCAGGTTTATCTTATTAACATCCCTATTCTCTTCAGTGGAATGTCAGTAAGATCTAAGCAGCACAGCGAGTGCAGTGGAGGCAAAGCAGCAAAGGGTTACAAGAGTAGATCTACATCCTGCATACGCGTCGATGGCGTGATCCTGCAGTTTTCATGCAGGCAAAACTGCGGGATGTGGTTCACATTCTGCACTAATCATGTGGATGATGGAAATGGACACAGCCACAATCACTGAGTTAGCACTGTGGTTAAACAATGGTATCATTTAAATACAAATGTATTTAAAGTACAGAAAATAGGTATTATTTTACTACTGATTATTTTAATGAATGAGGTCTGTCGCTGAATTTACACCTGAAAATGGCTGACCATATAATAAAACTGAAGTATTTGGGATGAAATAATTCTTTGCAGATTTAAGTACAGTTTTCCACTCACAACAACGGGACCTCTTGCACGTGTGTGTGAGAACAGAATAAGGCACTTGTTTATATTTTTGGAGATCTGACTTCCTTAATTAAAAAACAAAAGAATACAGTCATTAAAATGGTGCTTTGCGACCAAGTCTGAAAAACCTCAAATGTAGCTCTCTCAACTGCTATGCTGTTTGTCATTCACTTCACTGAATATTGAGCAAGAGGAAATTAAGGTCTCTCTGAAAAGACAACAATCTGAAGTTGAATACTCTGAACACAAAATAATTTGATAGCATTTTGCTCAATACCACTAAGAAAGGACATATTTACAACTTATTTATTAGCACAGAAGCACGGATAATCCATGGAATTTAGTATGCCTCATACTGGCAGGCTGGTGTGTACACTGGAAATAAATTTGGTCAACAAATTATGGTAAAAATCTACAGAAAAAAAAACATTACATTTATATGTCTTGCACTACCAGATGTGTTATGGAAATTTTGAAAAAAATATGTTCAAAGCAATTAAAATAGATTTTATAAGAAAAGGCATGCATGAACAACCCTCCTTCCACATATAATCCCCCCGCAATAAAACAAAACCTTGCAGTTGAATGCAGAAAAAAAAAAAACAAACACTAAACACTACCATTTTTAAGGACTTCAGGACAACATCACGTATCACAACATGCTATTATATAAAACCCTACTGCATGTTTTGTAAAACCAAACAAAAAAATACCAAAAACCCCCCAATAATTTTCCTAAAATATTAAAGATAATCATCATCCTAAAGCCAGAAATGAATGTTACATGTAAAAGGGATGAATCAATGCAGTTGATTCATCTCTGCTTGTGCAAGTTGAAAGTAAAACACACCCACACAGAGTACTTTTGAATTCCCTCCCAGACACCACAGATCTCTGCCAAAGGCAAAGACTCTGATCATACCTTTTTCAGCCTCAATTGCCTCTACAGTGGCTGTACAGAAGTGAGCAGATGCATGCAAAATGAATGAGAAAGATGAAGAGTGTAATATCGCATAGCAGAAAAGGCAATGATCAATTTAATATAGTATGCTACGCCAGATTAGATTACAATTAGTTAAAATGATAATTAAGGTTTATGGGGGTTGTTTTTAAGTTTAAGTGAAACTCCTCCTAAATTTTAACTAATAAAATTTATAAACTGAAAGTACATCAAAGCAATACTAATTAACTGATGTTATTAACTGCACAATTCTATAAGTTTTTTGGTTGGTTGGCTGTTTTTTTGTTTTTGTTTTAAGACAGCAACAGAAAATTTTAACTGGTGTTAAAATTGTAGTATGGTTTAAAAAACAAACCTAACAAAAAAAAATCTATTTGAGACTACTATTTCTAAATATTAAAATGCATTGGTGAGCTTCACTAAATTACCAGGAAGGACGCTTTAAAAATAACACTAGCAGTGTTCTAATAATAAGAAATTATTTTTCTCTTTATGTTTAGCTCCCTGAAGTTTACCTAGTATTCAGTTTCTCACTGTATTTTAAGCTAAATAGGTATCTCGGAGAACTGAACTGTGAAATTTAAACCATAAAAGACAAATCTAGCAAGTCATATTTAAAAAGTCTCATAAATTGTTTAGTTGAATCAACAACAAAATCTATAGCAGGAAGAGCTCTGGATCTAACATAGTCTTGGTGGGTGGATTAATGTAAATATGAAAAAAATATAGCTTACTAGTTGTTTTTCAGACTAAATAACCATGACATCTGCTGTAATTTCTTAGGTGTAAGATCTTTCCCAATTAGAAGTCAAAGCTTTAATATAAGGTTCTTAGGATATCAAAATCAAAATAACTTTCTATTAGGGCAGACTTGCTAAAGAAACCATTTTATAACTGCAACCTAAACTGTAGCCATGTTTCAGTAAGGGAAACAACTTTTTACTTCCCCTACTGTGTGCCATGCCTCTAATACCATAATTTCAGAAATATGAACAAAAAATAACATATGTAGTGGTAAACCTACTTGTGTAGTGCTTGATACATTTTGCTAACACAAATCGTAACAGCATATTCAAGCAAATGTTAGGGAAACTAATTATGTAAGAAAATATGGCATTAGATCAGAACAGAATTCTTTAAAGTGAATTACGTTTACTACTTCTCATTTTGTCTCCAACAAACAGCAGACACAACATTTCAATTGCCTACACTATGCCCACACTATGTTGTTATGTATCAATTGCCTACATAATGCCTTAACCTCACTGTTTTCTACTGAGATATTCTAAAAAAAAAATTTTAAAATTAGATACTTTCATTATGTGCTACTAAAATAATGTGTAATACTTAAGGGAAATGCAGTATTTTAACTTCTGCATACTGCACCTTCCATGGTACAAAAAAAAAAAAAATTCCTGCATTTAAATCTACAGAGACATGGGCATTCCCACAATTATATCGAAAAGCCACTTGAATGGATTGTTATTTATGATTACGTTAAGGGAAAGAAACTTTCTCAAATTGTAAAATTGAATTAGTTTAAGAATTATTTTAGAAAGTCACCAAATACATACTTTCATACGATAATCAATTTGCCACACAAATACAATACTATGTAAAAAAACCACCTCTTTTCACCATTTCCTGTTACCTGTGAAGTCTTTGTTTTCAATCTTTTCCTGAAAAGATCACGAATACTGATTTATCTCTGTAAATTATGTAGCTTGGTCATAAATACAAATTTCAAAATTTACTCCTAGTTCATTCTACTTGTACTACTATTCCAAAAAGATCTTGGAATATACATTATAGTTAAGAAAAAAATAATTTTCAACTTGACATAAAAGAACAAACTGACTGGAAAATACAACCACTTAAAAAACCCACACTGTAAAGACCCAATTTGGAAAATAATTTTGTTGGATTCTCTTTTGCAGGTACATCTAAATTAAAACTAAAAAAATACTGTATCACACTAGCCTAACAGATAATCCTGAAGTCTTTCCTCAGAAAATTCTCAACTTGAGAGCAAATTTTAAGCAACAGGGTTCAATAACATTTCCATCCTCAATTCCAGCTCTCCCCCCGCTTTACTTAGGGGACAAATCTGATACAAAATCCTTGCCAACTTTCAACATAGAACTAAAAAAACTATCTTGCTACGCCTCTGACTAATAGCAAGGGCGGCAATGAAAGATAAGTAGTATTTAGCTAGTTTGACTGATTTCCATGAAAGTACTTACAATTTTTAATTTAGGCTTGTGTTTAGTATGTTGCTGAATAAGGCTTTAGGTGTTTGGGTTTTGTTTTAACAAATTTTGTTGGATTCAGTTCACACAGTAAGTCACTAGGAAATGCTGCTTTAATATGGTACTTAATATGGTCTTCAATATTTCAGCTACTATGATGCAAGCAACATAAATAATAAAACCTATAAATCTACATTTAAAAAAAATTCAGAAATATACAAAGGCCATGATTTCCGAAAGTCTGGTTTTATCCTAGTACATTAAAGCTATCTAAAAATAACCTACGATTTGCTTTTCAAAAACATATCCATATATTTCTGGGGAAAAAATAATATATTGACTTCTTCCATAGGATGTAGTTTTGCACTTTTCCCCAAAATTGTATTTTTTAACTGACTTGTCTTAGTTTAACCCTTTCACTACAGTTAGAATTGGCATTTCACCCTCAGTCTGCTCTGTTTTACAGTAAGAATCTGTTCAAGCATTTCCCATAAAGGAGCTGTACTTGACTAACTAATATGTTTGGTGCCCTACTCTGCATTACGTTAATGCCAACAAGCTTCTCTCCTCTGAGAATGGCCAGTATCTCACAAAAGACAGCAGGTGTGGCTAAACAACTTCCTGAAACAGTACTGTTATTTGCTAAGATCTAGTACAGGCTATGTTACTGACATTAAGAATTATAATAGGCATATATGCAAAAACTGCGTATACATTGCCTTAATGGTGACTTACATATATATATACATATATATATATATATTTGCCCTGATAAAAAGAATTCAGCCCAGCTCTCTAGAGAAATGTAGGTATATACTCCAATTCTGTATAGTTTTCAAAGTTTCTTACAGAGTTAATACCAACCAGCACAGCTAGACATTTTCTCAATGTGTCATTGAAAAATGAGCACTCGTTAAGTCTGAAACCTGGAAAACCCATGACATATTGGTCAATTTTGTGAATTTTCAAGTAAACAAAGTAATAGAATAATGAAAAAAATACTACTATTAATATGTTACTTTCTCGAGTCTAGACTAGTTTAAATTATTGATAGTATACTGATCAACACAGTACAATATACTTCAAAAAATAATTAAGTATTTGTAGTAAGAAATCCTAGTATACTATCAGTGACCATATTTCTGCCAAGAGTAGGAATTCACTGATATTACAATGATTTAGAAAAGTGTCAATTAGTGAAGTTTTATTTTATTTTCGGTTTACTTCTAGCTTTGCAATTGAGCATAGCATTTTGAAAACTTCTACCGTTTTAAGACTGAAACAACAAAGTTCTTATCAGTAAAAAGAAGTTACTGCAATTTAAGGAGAACTAACAGTTGGCATGAGTTATTCTGAACAATCAACATGACTAAGACAAATGAGGCATATTAATGTAGTGCATCAAGGAATATTGCCATCAAAACTTCTAGTCAAGAGAAAAAAACACTCACAAAAATCCAAAACTCATTTTGTATACTTTCCAAATGTTCCCACATTTTTCAGTAATGGTACAAAGTCATATGTTTTATGTTAAAAAATTTTCTAGTCAGTTTGATCCTCTCTGATATTTGTAATGCAACATGGATAAAAGTCTGCTAAATGAGTGAGAGGAATGCAGACTCATTTTTTAAAGCATAATAAAGTATCTTATTAAACAGTGAAAATTAAAACTAGAACATATGCTTTTGGAATAGTTGGATGGATTAGGAAACATACACCATTTCTTGTTATAGACATTCACGAAACAATCACATACATACACTGGACATATAAACTTACTTGTAGACATTATATGTCCACTGAAAAATGACTTAAAATGTGACATTCATGTTTCAAAGCTATTAAAGAACAGCTTTGATAGTTCAATAGAAAATGTAGTCAAAGACTTTTAAAAAAAACAACACAGAAAATTTAAAAATTCAAAGAAACAGCTTAAATAACAAAATGAGAAAAGCAGCTGCTCTTGGAAAACAGATTGTGTAAAAAGTGGTATTCATATATCACAATCTTTCAACAGTTATAAAATTCAGTGGTCCCATACAACAGTTTTGTACTTTCTAGTAAAGCCTGAAGATGGCCAATAAAAAGTCTTTGAATAATTAAGAGTGCTGCTGACATGAAGTCCTGTTTTGATATATTTTAGTTATCCACCATTGTGAACAGAAACCTGGACTTCATTACATTTGGTACAATCTCATAGCATTCTCCCTAGCTTAGTTAATCATTCATGGGCCTTGTGAAAAATATGATCCAATGATTCAACAAACTAAAAAAGGAAGAAAAACCTTTTACAAAATATTCAATGAGCCAGATTACAGGTATATTTTGTATAGAGTTCTTTTTATTTTCATGCAAAAAAATATATGCACACTTAATAACACCCTTTTATTTTGATTTATTTACAGGTTTTAAATTCAATCCCTTTATTCTCAACTGATTTTATAACATTTACTGAATATTTTTCAAGTACATTATTGTTCAAAATGCACAGACAATGTGCAGCAGCAAATGCAGCAAACCTCAAAAAACAAGGTGCTACAACATTGCTTCTACATCAAGAGACAGACAAGTGTCTGGGATAGTGGTTTAATTTTAACACTTATACAGACATACATCTATACCTAGAGAGAGACAGACAGATCTAAGAAAGCAGCTACATCTGCAGAGGAAGGAAACAGCATGTTACAAGGACAATTCAGGGAGGTCAATTATACATAGAACATTTGACAAACAACATAGAGAACAAACTTTGGCATTAATTACCAGGGTACAAAACGTAGCACATTTCAATCTATTAATGGAGGGCAATATGGAACTCTGCAGCCTGTAGCTGTTTGTTAATATTAATATCAACAAATATTTGACACTGTCAATGAAAATACTAACACGTTTGTAATAAAACCATTTTAATGGGAAAGCAGACAAGTAATGATGCAAAATTACATTGCCATTTTTGTATCTATAATGATCAAATGCCTCAGTAACAGATCTATAAGGTCACCCCACTTCGGGCATCTGCACCACCTGAAAAATTGTAAACTAAGGAAGCTCAAAGTCTGAAATGTGGCCTGACACCTCTGAACTCACTTGCTTTTAGTTTTATACCCTGGTTAAGTATCCATTTCACATTGCCTGATTAACACATAACACTATGCTCGTATCAGCCGCTAAGACAAGAACTGAAAAGCATAAGAAATTCCCTGCATGCATTATGTGTAGTGTTAGCAAAAGAGTGAGATGTGCCCCAGTCCATCTGAGGCACAGCAAGTTGCATAACATCATTACCACTTTGCAGGGTCTGTCGTCCTCCAGCCAACACTCCACTAGGTAACATTCCAGTGGGAGTCAAACCCTTGAGTGTCAGCACACTTTCACTCTCCTCCCTGGTGTGAGAAAAAACAGTAACAAACCCTTAAATAGCCACTCATGAAAACTTGTATTAAATTAAAATAATGGATGGGGAGAGAGCGAGCCTCTATTTGCTGTGCTTTATGCATGTCAAGACTGAATGCTAGAAAGGGGAAAATATTTCTATTCCATACCAGTCTTTCCCCTGCCTAGGAGTTATGAGCACTGATTACATTACTGCTGAACCACATTCTGAGCAATTATTCACATGCAGACTCATTAGCTTTGAAATCAGCACTGAATGCCTCATGAGGTACTGAACATATCTCAGTGCCATAAAAGAATCCACAGTTTTGTTCAAAGCCTCTATGCTCCAGGAAATACCAAGTTTAAAAAAATTATCCCTATTTGAACAATTATGGTCTGTGGAAAACTATACATTTTGGGTAAATGTGATCATGAAATCTCTAGATCTAGACAAGTACAAGAAAATGGTATTTTTTAAAAGTTGAAAACAAACAAAAACCTGAAACAAAAACCCCTTAGTCGTCAACTTTCTGGTATGCCAGAAATCTTCCAAGCCAGGCCTGACCTCCTCCATTACACCATTGATTTCTCTCTATTTTGGTATTGTCTTTCCAACACTCATAGTTAACGACTGGACTAATAACTTATACACTAAAGATCATGTTCTCTAATTTCTTGAAACATGTATCAAAAACAGTTTTAACCAAAAATACCAACATCAATGGGATGCATCAATATGCCAAACCAGATTCTGATGCACAATGATCTCCCTGAAAAATGTGTGGCATCCATTATCCTGGAACAGAGATGTTTTCCTATGATACACAGGAGGAGTTTTAGGAATGCACAAGTCATGCAAGTACCTGAGAACAGAGAAGACTCTTGCCATCTTGCCAATTGCACGAATTTTGTTTCTGATTATTTCTTTCCGTGCGGCAGCTGTACCTACTTTCAATGGAATAAAAGAGAGTCTCAAGCTCATGAGTATTTACAGGGTCACCATTTCAAAGCACATTGAATTCAACACAATTGTTTAAGTTCAGTACTCTTCACGGGAGGCCAGTACCCAAACGCTTAGGGGCACAAAGTTATAAAATTATGGCTTCAGAATGCCATCAAAACCACCATCACCTCTGTGTCCACAAAACACACACAAAAAAGTTTAGGATGTTTTCAGTGATTTCCTAAAGCTAGCAAGCAAGCATCTAGATTACCACCACTACAGTGTAGTAACTATCATAGCTTATTTGTCTAAATTTTGCACTTGAAATTCTTCACTGACAGTGTATATAAAAATGTAGGCATGCCGCCCAAAATAGATGCCAAAGAGATATTAAAGCCACAAAAAATAAAGATCTGTTGCTAATTCTTACACAGCTATCTAAGAAAAAAGAGTAATTTGTTTGTTTGTTTTTATGTCAAGTCCCCAAAACACACACCGCAGAAAAAAACCCCACAAAATAAAATGCCAAAGAATTATGGTGTTACCTCCCTTACCACCTAACTCTATGTTCTTTATCATCTTAGGTTTGCATCATTTGTGGAAATAAAAAATACCAAAGATCTGGAATAAATACCGCATATTTCACAGAGCAGAGAGATACCATTTGTGATAGACAAAAGTGAAGACAAAACTCTAAAAGGAGGCTTGCAACTGGGAAGGACAGCCACCTTTGCTTGCCTTGACATTTTAAAAAGGGAAGCGCCTTTCTCCAACACTAGGTTTTGCTGGTTTGTTTCAATATATAAAAGTCATCCTTCCCCATATCTTCCTTTCCTTTTGCTGACTCCTCAATTCCACTAAAACAGTAAAGGCAGATGAGGAGGTATCAAAACTAAAATCCTTACTTCTCCTCAGCCATTGGGGAAGGAGAATATTAATCACAGCAAGGTAAGAGTAACTCAGTCATACTTTAAATTCAACCATAGGGGACCAAAAGTGAACAAACTCAGACAGCTCTGTTAAGTATTCCAGATCTTCCATATATCATTGTTCTTCAACCCCGGGAGAAAGGTACTCATTAAAAAGTTGACAAACTAATTTGCAAGAATGTAGAAGAGAGGATCACAGAAGTGGGTAGAGGAAAGCTGTATGTCCACAAATTTGTCTACTCGCATTCAAAAAAGGCAGCTGTGGAAGAATCCTTTTTTCATCCCTGCTCACTAGTATTTAGCTTCCACATGAGTACACAGACTCCAGCACAACAGTCACCCTTCTCAGAGCACAGTTGCAAGAACACAGGGCCTTCTGTCACACGAGTATGGATGGGCTTCCCCCCCAAACACCACAACGAATAAAATACAAAAGATTACAACAACAACAAAATCACCCAGGAAGGAAAATGTACTGTAGTGACAAAGAAAAAAGGGAGCAAGAGACAACCTTTGTATGAACTCAATGAAAGAATCTCAGGGTATGACAAATATCTGCCAATCCATTTAAACAAAATGAAAAAGCCAGAACTACTGAGCAAAGCTTTTTTAGACAAAGGAACGTTAATGAACTGCAGACACCATATTAAAAACAAAAAAAAAACAAAACCAAAACAAAAGCAACAACAGCCCCACTAAAACAGAAGGCTCAGGAAAAACTTTGAGCAGGATAGGCTGAAACATTTATTTTTATCGAAAATAGTTTATTTTAAATTTTAACTTTCAATTTTTATCTATTTGAACACTATTAAATAACAGATTCAGGATCTGGAATGAGAAGAAGACTCTTTCATCAGAGTTTTTGAAAAGGCTAGAGCTAAATGAGGGACCATCAATCTTTCCCTACAAGTCCCTCAATTTTCCTCCTACCTACACCTATCTGAGGGCTACACTGATGCAGAGCTGTAACATGCAGGCTGAAAAGATTTCAGGCAGTGCCAGTGCCCATATCTAACTCTGGGAGGTCCCTGTGCCTTAAAGAGAGAAAGCCTGGATTTGGGTAGTTTTGATGTTTAGGTTTTGCTATTTATTTATCGATTTATTTATTTATTTATTTATTTATCTATTTATTTATTTATTTATTTTAAACACAATCTTTCATTGCCCCAGCCCTCCAGAAGCAACATAGCCAAGCCAAAAGGCCAAACGTATTACTTCAGTGTAGTGCTGCACTAATGTGGCCACTGAATCCTAGTTAATTCGGAGAAGACAGTAAGGTGCCATCTGCTTACAGAAGAATGTCTTGATTACACCCTAACTTAGAGGGGATATGACACTCTCCCATTCCTCATTCCCAATGCATGCACAAGAAACAAATTCTGAAACGCTTGTATTATTATAGTCTGAAGAATTCACATAACCTGTGGAAACATCTGTATAATGTAACGCATTCCCAAGTGCTAGAAATATTCTCTGGAAGTGACTAATTTATACAGGGAGCAAATTGATTATTGGGTAAGTAATGGTGAGAAGAATTTTTCTGCACAGAATTATCTATCCTGGGATTTCTGAAAAACATGTGATAGACCATGAATTTAAGTTAGCAGGATTCTTTTTACATTTTGTATCCAGCCATCTTCAAAATTGCACATACAATCAAAAAGTACTTTTTTGACATATCAGTTGAATGAAACTAAAAGTACTACACAAACCAGGTTTTAAAACGTTGTATAAACACATTCCATGCACAACCTTAAAAAAAAAAAAGCTCACAATAGAAGTATTAAAGAGCAAGACAGACAACTGAACGCTCCCTACACATGCAGGACCAAAGATAAAATTTTAGAAATAGGTAAAAGAATGAAATTCTACAAAAAAGGAATGGAAGAAAGGAGGAAAAAAATTCATGCACAGAAAGACAGATGTCTTGGAATATGACTTCTGATAACAAAATACACGAAACTATATAAACATCCCATTAAACCGGGCAATAATAATAAAATACTATGTCTCTCAACAGAAAGGTATTTTCTGCATTAATACTTATACTGCCAGGTTCTACGAAGTCATATTTCAAACATTCCTACTCTGTCTGGTCTGTACCTTTTTTATTGCCATATATGAGTCGCTCTTCAGATGGAGAGTCCAGAAAAAAAGGAAGTGAACGATGGAGAAAAAGGTGAGTGAGACAAATAAAATAAAGATATTTAACTTGGCAGTGGTAATGAAGGAATGGAGGAGAAATGTGAAAAAATAAAATGGAAAATTGCAACACTTAAAAATGCATTCATCAAACAAGAAGTGGAATTGTTGAGTATATTTTAAAATCTGACAATAAGTGGAAGCTTGAAAGTCAACAGTTAAAAAAAAATCCATTCACATAGAAAGATAAAGCGTAGACAGTACCTAGGTGGCATTAAGAGATGCATCAAGCAAAGAAATCGTTAAAGGAGACAGAAGAATAAAATAATTGAAATTAGGAAACTGCATCTATTGTACTAAAGACAGGGCATATGCAGTCAACTGATGACTGCACTTATGCTGGACAACGCAAATCCTAATGTGTCAGAATACCACTTAACCCTACCCTGCAAATGCTTGGTGTAATTGCTTTATGCTCAGTTTAGCAGGATTACTTGAATGAAAAACATAGATTAGTTGCTTGAAGGATCACATTTGAGACTATTTCTAATTTTTCACATTTCTGGCAATAATCTAAATGGAAGCAAAGTTCACGTGACCCATAACCAATGCATTCCAACCTAAAACACACACAGCTGCTTAGCACAACACTGTTCTACTTTGAACACAGTAGTTATCAAACATTAAGAAAGGGGTCATGTCTCTAATATCTTTATAAATGATCCTTTAGTGATCCTCAAAGGCTGCAAAAACTTTCCTTCCTCCTCCCCCATCATCAAACAATCCACCAAATCAGTTCTGTTACTGGATAAAATGAAGAAAGCCTGAGAAACTTTTATCTGTGACATTAAGCACTACTGTAAAAAAGCAACAAAACAAACTGCAATATGCTAGGTCTTCATGTTAATGTTGCTTCTTAATCATCATGCTACAAACATTTCCTTAACAATCTACTGTATCATAGTTTAAGAAAGATAACTCATTACATAAATACATATTATACAATGTACATATACAAGTTCTCCTTTAACTTTTATGCTTTAAACTCAAACACCAGGACTTAAACTTGTATTTCACACTTTATGTATAATACTTTGCCATAAGAAATATCATATCTGACTTTCTGCTACATCAACTCTTCATAGAAGAGCAATCACCAAGAAATGTAAGATCATACAATAAATTTATTTTAAATATTAGCAAAGCTTAGTGTTTCCAATTTAAAGTGCCAGGAAATTCTGAGAATTTTCCATAAAAAGTTTCAGTTTTAAACAGAAATCAGATATAAATATTTGCAAAGGATATCATTACTGCTTCTTGATCACAAACACAAAACCACAATTCCCTTCTCTGCCCCTTCCCCCCCCTCACCCCAAAGCATCATTATCTAAAGAAAACTTTGAAGGCAATTTTCTACAAATTCCAGGTAATATTACACCAGTCTAACTGAACTACTGTTTCACAAGTTATTACCACGAAAAAGATTTGTATATCTTAAAGTAACCCCTACCGTCAAATTGATCTTCTCCCTCTGTCATCAGTTCATCATCAGAGCAAATGCTCAAAACATTCACCAACATTTCTGTTACTGTATAGGAAAAAATAAATCTTAATTCATTCCCTGTAGAATTTTAAATATTACCATGCACACAAGATACAACTAGTCACCAGTACCTATAGTGAATGAACTTCCCAAATCATAGACATTGCTCAGTAATCTGGGTTCAAAAATATGTGTTTTTCTTGATATGTGCTGTCATAGAATTTAAAAAGCTCAGAAAAATAAGCAGCTAAAAATTATACCACCTAACAATCAAAGAACACAGCAGAGCTTTCCTATCTCACAAGGAGTTCTTTTAGATAAGAATTCTTTTCTTGTATATTAGTATTTTTACATTAGAATAAGTATTTGAATTCAATTTTATGCAAAATTTACTTAAATATGAAAACATTTTGACTGCTCAAATTTAGGCTTAAAATGAGAAAGCTATTCCATTCCTGGCACCTGCAGGCATGTAGCAGGAGCACCAAAGCAGAAAAATATTACAACATGGTTCAAGCCACATGTCTTTTCAAACTCCCATTAAAAATATCAACATAGTGGATATACAAACTTATCTCAAAAGGGTTACATTTTCTTTTTCCAGGGATCTACCTATTCAGTCACTCAATCATTCCCATGTATATCAGACTCTCTGAGAGTCAAACTTTTCCTCCCCCTAAAGTGTTCAGAAACCTATTCCAGAAGTTCAGTCAAATGGCTTAAAACCCTGTAAATTGCTGTCTACATTTACTCATGACCAATTCACGCAATCCACGTGTTATCTGCTACAGTACTCTTTTCCATTCTTAGTTAAGAGTTACTCTCTACTTTAGTAAAAAAACCCCACAGAATTATTCTGATTTTGTTCTGTTCAATGCAGACCAGACAATACTGACACTTCAGCAAAAGTGGAAGCATGTATCTGTCAAAAGGCAAGACGAACTACAAGGGCCATGATTCCAGCAGTCTTAAGCATACAGCGGGGTCAATGAGCAACTTACTTAACAGTACTTGCGTGTCTCATTACCAGCATCGTAACAAAAGCAAAATAAACACTATTAACCCTTTGCTGTTGAAAATGTTATCTACTGCATCATGAGGTAAGAAAGATACAAACAAAAATCTCCTTTCAAATGTCAGGTCCCTCCATTTGAAAATAAAAAAATTGTTGAGTGAATTAATCACACTAAGAAGTGCCCAAATTATTTGCATTTAACTGCTCACTAAAGACAATATAAACCAATCTAGAATCCTAAATTTATATGACTGTAAATATATCATCTCAAGAATACTTGTGAAATAAATTTAAAGAGCTTTCCAGATCTCTTTTATAAGAAGAGCAGTTTCTGTCATGGAAGGACTTTAAACAGACCCAAACAGCCTCTAATTTCATTGCTTTTTAACTGAAGGCTACTTGGAACCCCAGTGTCCTAGATTCAGTTATGAACGATAAGGGGGGGGGGGGGGGGGGGGGGGGGGAAGAGTACCTGTGTTACATTATCTTTTTTTACAAAAAACCCTACAACTGAAAAAGATATCTTTCATGAAGGTCACTCTGTTATAACTATATAAAAAGCTTAAAATTTTACATGAACATCTCAATATTGTTTGCACTTATAACTATACAAGTTTAATAACATATATACCCTAGCATTTTGTAGAATATGAACAATTTTCATACTGACTTCAAAAGCAGTTCAAAGGTACTACTTAATAATGTAGATATACACCCACAGTGGAAATTATAATTTGTTAACACCTCTGCTTTATTAGATGCAGTTTTAACTATCTCAACTGAAGCAGGCAAAGAAAACAACCAAAGCATGTAGAACAAGTAGTTCAGTTTATCCTTTGTCAGAAATGGCATTTTGACATGCGAAAACCCCCCTCCAAATCAGTTTAACGACTTCACCAAATCTTCTACCCAATAAAGACAAATACAGATACCTATTTTCACAAAAACTATGCAATTAATCTATCATTGGCAAATATATTTAAAAAACCCAATAATCTTCCCACCACCAATCTGGGAGAAATAGGAAAGATATTAATTGATGTGTAACTTTTGCCTACCTTTTTCTCCAACAAATGGCAAAGACCATGTGAAAACATCCATAAAATTTGGTAGCCAGTAAGGATGAGGAGAACAATTGAACTGACGAATATTCATCACATTGTTTTCATATTTTAATACAGCAGCTAAAATAAAATTCAGACATTTCAAAAAGCATGTTTAAAACCTGCGAGTACCACAAACGTAAAGTTATAGATTTGATTTAGCTCTATTTTATACTATAAACAAAATAATCCCAGAGATACTCCACTCTCTTTCACAGTATTTACAGGACAGCTTTCTAATGGAGATCTTTGGATTTTTATTGCACATGTTGCAGTTAAGGTGCTGTTACATGTCAATACAGTCTTGTACTATCCTATTATAGGTCTATAATGAACAAAGGTTTTAAAAGGACCTGAAAAGGTATAATTTCAGCAACTTTAACAAAAACCTAAGAACAGCCATATATCCAGATTCAGGTTTTAGTCTTCATATGTGTCTTCCCACATTGTAAGCCTGGAGTAAAAAAAGAAATCTAGAACACGAGGGAGAAGGAGAGGCACAGAGAAATGAAACAGAAAAACAAAAAGCTAAATAAGCATTGATTGCATTCTTCCATACTTACACTTGCATTACACTGGGAATAGCTGATATGAAAAAGGATTCTTAAAATGCAATATCCACAGAGATGGTGAAAAATGTAAAAAGCCAGTTGAAGCTATTTTTATTTCTCTGTTACTTTACAATCAGTGCAAGTAACCACAGCTCATCTTTTCTTCTATACAGTTAATCACCCTACATAAGTGGTATGGTTGGGGGGTGGTTCTTTGGAGGCAAGTGGGAGAAAATGCAATGTATTTCATAGAAAAGAGGTCTTGGTTTCAAAGGAACACTTTGTACATTTGGAGATCATTCATTCATCACATACTTGAAATGCCACACTTTAATGTCATACTTAAATTTCACCAGGCTTTATTTTTGATTATTTCTGTTGTTGAACTTTGTTCTCATCTATGAATAACGGTAATTCACAGCTAAGATCTTCTCTGTAATTCTGACTTGTAAATTTTTCTTCACACTATTAAGCATGCTTCTCCTGTGCAACTTGATCTTAATCAGAGCATGGACAAAAATTAATTCCTTCTGGTTTATACCTCCCTAATACCATTTCCAATGGTGATCAGTACTGGCCCATTCTTGATTTCTCATTATGGCCCTGTATCATCACAATTAGACTCTCAGATGCTGGTGATAAACAACACAAACTACCCTACGCACAGGCTGATCAGTGCCTGCGCCCTTCCTTACTTAGCTCACAAACTAAAAGACAACCAGAGGAGTGAAAACACAGCACAGGAAAGCCTTGCCTGACTGGAAAACACCAGGTGATACATTGTAAGTACCAAATAGCAACAACTTTCACAAAGGAAATATTTGGCCACACTTGTGCTTCAAGGTGGATCACTCTTAAAGGAAATAATCATTTATGTCACTTGCTCTTCTTCATAATATAACTATTATTAATGGAAGTTTTTTGTCCTTTAATTTCTTACCTGGCATCGAATTGTTGATATTAGATGACTTATCTAGTAAGACATTTTTATTTTATCATTACATACAGTTATTGATAGCAAGTTCTTACCTTTATTATTGTAGACATCCAGGTAATTAGGTGCTGAAAAAATTGTTATTAATGATGGGAACCCTGTAGTTTGACTTTTCCTGTACATTCTATAACTGCAAAACCAAACAGATTATTTTACATCTTACAGCAATAAGCAATTAATTTTTATTTTGCACTGTGAATAATTTCTTGAAGGACACAAAGTACATACCCTGCATCTTGTGCTTCATGTGCTCTAATGATTGACAACAAATTATTATTTTGCAAAAATTCACAAACTGCTGGATAGCTGTGAAATGAAAACAACTATGAGTAAAATAAGTTCTCTTAAAATATGCAGCAAGAGTCAGCATTAAAGCAACAAATAGATCATAGCATACTCTCACCTATAAAAGTATGAGCATCCTCTGACGGTATTGTGACTGAAATGCTCTTGTGAATTTTCATTTCCAAAATCTTCTGAAGGATCTGACCACAGTAAGTCACACATTGGTCCAAATGCTGGAGGCTCTTTAAATCTATCTAACTGTTTGAGAAAAGGCAAGACCACAAAGACTCTTTGAATATTAAATCAGTAAGTTTTACACATCTGTTAAACTACATATCCATCAATACCAAGCATTTTTAGAATAAATCCCAACAGTAGTTTCTGTATATTTTTTTCCTCTCCTCCTCATGAAATAAGGCAGAGGCATGCCAAAAGAACCAAACCTGTTAAGAGCAATAAGATTTATTAGTTGCAAAGAGAAGGGAGATAAATTCCAGACTGATGGATATGTGTAATACAAGGTCAAGTTACAGACAAGGAACAAAATGGTCCTTCTTCATGCACATGCCATATCTACCAATCTGGAGACACTATCAGGAATTAGCGGAGAGAAACAGTACAGAAAACATGAATTATAAAAGAAAAGCATGAATAATTAGCACTGACTAGAAGAGACCACTATATCACCTCAAAAAACAAACTAAAAAAACCCCCAAAACACCCATCTCCATAATGGATTGTTTAACAGTTTAATGAAGAGGTGATTGACTTAGCTCTCTTAGACTTCCTTCATACAGGCTTTATTTCTCAGCTGTAGCCCTGGTGTAATGGGCCATAAGCACTATGGGAAATGTCTGTCTTTGTTTTCTTTTCTCCAGCTGCTTCTTTACAGATTTCCACTTGGAAACACCTGCTTTAGCAGCCTGTTACTTTCCTAGTAACCACCATGAAAAAGGGAAGAGGTAAGGAGGACAGTGCCTTTGTTAACATAAAAGGAGAAGACCTTGCTTAAGTAAGTAACAATCAATCTCTGATGTCCCAGAAATGAAATTAGATATCCCGAATTCAATGTAAAGTTTATTTGATCCTTATGTTGCTGGAGTTTGTTCACAAGATGATTTTATCCAAGAAATGTACGAACAGTTCTTTGATGGACAGTGCATTTATCTCACTTTACCTCCCATACCAAAGAAGATGACTTTGATGGTACTAGAGAACACTTAACTCTTCATGACAGGTTCGAAGGGAGGTTTGGTGAACACCTGGTGAATTTGAGTCTAACGGTCCATAGGAATCCATTCAAATATGGAACCAGCAGTAGTGCCAAGCTCTCTCATGCCCTGGAAAATCAGAGCTCCCGAGGCTGCCACCTGTAACATAAGTGGAGAGGTCCAGATCTTTACAAATTCCTGCCAGATAATGGCAAGGCAGGTATTAACTGAAGTTGTTGTTGGAATTTATTCAATATTAAAAATCCAGTGGTTTAACATTTCCCACACTGGATAAGAAACCCGGTATGGAATATTTCTTCCAGATTAAAGAAGTCAGTCCATCAACTTCTGCAAGTACCTGAATTTCTGTAGATTAAACCATCAAGTTTCTAAACCTCCAGCGATAAATTTGTGTCCGGAAGCTAACAGAAGCATACACACAAGGAAGATTCAACTGTTTGCTGATTGATGTTTCCTGCAATACAGAAGGCTGAAAGTCTAGAAAGCATTTCTAAGAACTTTTCTTGAGTTGCTCTTCAAAGATTTTCTTTATGACTTTGGCCAAATGGATAGATGTTATAAGTAAAGCATTTTGGTTGCTGCAAGCAACACACCTCTCTCCCAGACTACTTTCTCATAGCACTGGAACAATAATGTAGTCATTTCTTGAAGTAAGGAGGTCAGTCTGTAAAAAATAAATATACTTACTTACGTACGTACCAAATCAGTGTCTCCTTCACTAGACAGTCTACCAACTGACACGGTTCTTAAGATATCTCAAAATTTAAGGAAATGTCACTGCAAGCTACTCAACCCAGATTGCATATATCAAATCAGAATAATCAACTTAAGGGTTTCTCTACGTCAGGACAGCAAGAAAGTTAACAAAGGATGTGAGGTAATTCAAATCACTTGTTTATAATTAACTATTTCTGAATATGTTGTGACTATGACAAAACAGAATCTCAATACAAATTAGCTTAAACATATTTCTAAATATCATTAAGGTAACTCAGAAAGACAATTTTTTTCAAGAATAAGAATCACTACCCCTGCTGTTAAAACAGAAATAGCTATTATATTTTTTTAGTACATACTACAATATATTTAAATATAAATTAATTTATAGGCATTATGCAGTGAGGGCTACTAAACTGAAGTGCATCATACCTCCACATGGATGTTCAAATTCGGGAGTAGCAAAACCTTGGAGGTAGATTAAGGGACAGCAAATTAAAACTGTTTTACTTTTGATGCAAAAGACCTTCACAGAAGTTTCATATACTTGAAGATACAGACACCAGTTTTAATTAATCTGTCCTAATTTTCCTAAGAACTATCACATAGTAAAGCCCTAAAAACAATGTGAAGGCCAGTGAAGAGTGGCAGTCATATATTACTAAAGGAAATTTCAGCAGATCATAGAAAGGAAGCAAGGTATTATAAAGACAGAGTCCCAGTAGCCCCCATATATTTCAAGGCACTTTGTTGATTAAGCCTTAGTATCACCAAGAACTGAAAAAAAGAATGATCATCTGCTGTAAATGAGGAAGAAAATTCTCTGGCTCTCTTCTTTAGATTATGAGTCCCTATAATCTTATCTGGACACTTCCCTCCCTATAAATCACTAGGCTTAAAATCACAATTCCTAGAATTTTGTTTCAGCAGTGTAAATGTAATCAACTAAACTGCATCTCTAAGTTCATGAATATGTGTCTGAAACAGGCACTCTTTACCAATACAATCAGAACATTTGTGTAAATGAAGCTCACAGAATAAAAATCAGATTACTGCAAGTTTCACAAACTTCCATTTTTTCCTGAAATAAGAAGCACTTGCATCAGTCTTTCTGGTCAGGCTTTACTGTCATAGCTACTACGATAGCTGTCCTCTACTGAAAATAAGTTAATACCAGCAAAAATAATTATTTGTGTAGTTTAATGACCTTCCTGAATGTCAATAATACTGACAAGAAACTTAATCCAGAAGAATTTGCATCTGCCCAGAATTTTTCTTTTTGTCTTAGGTGACTCCTAGTGTTTACAGAGCTGTGGTTTCCCTTCTTGTGCCAGATGATATGCCTACACATGTTCGCAGAGAAGACCTCTCCTTTGTAAGAACTTCTGCTAATAAACCAGAAGGCTTTTAACACTACACAATTGTCTCATCTGTTTACAGAAGTCATTTCACACACCACACTGGTACCACAAGTATACGATACTGTCCTAGATATAAAAAGAGCATTTCACATCACCCATTTAATTTAAATACATTTACAGTAACAGTGCATGCCAAACTCTAATGCAGCTATTGAAGCTGCTGCCAACCCATGAATAGAACATTTTCAAAGTTAGTAGCTAAATCTTTAAAAAACAAAAAAGGCCCTAAGAACAGTTCTAATAACACTGCCTTACATTTATAAATGTGATCTTCATCAGAAGCCATATATGGTGCAGATTTTCATATATATATATATGTAAACATACAAGCTTGTATTTCATCCTAATATAGCCTTAAGCATTATAGAAGCACATATGAAAGTACAGGCCAAGATGACAGAATCACCTTTTAATTAAATTTACTTGACACTTTGAAATCTGATTAGCTGCAAGAATGAGACTAAATGAAACATGAAATCACAATCCTATTATGACAGTGGCTTTCCAAAGTGTTTCCTTTACACTACTTTTCAAAAATCTTTGACCATGTTTCTTTTCATCTGTAATGTGAGAAGTGTTAAGGCCTTGTCAGAATGGCACCATTTACTTGCTTTGCTTTCTTACTTCTTTCTCTGTACAAAACATACAGATTTCTGTACACATTAGTATTTTCTCTGAAAACACAATGTGACTCAGTACATTTTCCCACTTCTACCACTGAACTTGTAAATACGCTTCCTCTCTGTTTCTACCATTTTCTTCTCCTCTCACATCATTCTGCTTGGCAGCGTAATATCTGTAATTGAAATAAGCTGACATTCCAGCCTCTGAAATGGTCTGGTCAGTACAAAAAAAAATCTGGTGAACTCAGAAATGAGAATCAACTGCACAGCAGCCCATAAATCTGATGAGAGGGAGAGGCAACAAAGAAAAATGGAGCACAAGTAAAGGAGAAAATGGTAAGAAAATGAGAAATACAATAAATGAAGATAAAAGACAAAATGGGCCATCAGTATTTATATACTTTAAAACCAAATTTGGAACATACTTCTTTTTCCTAATATTTAGTTCCTTTCTGAAATAGACCCCCACGTACCTTCTTCCACATGTGGATAAACAACATTTTTCTTCCATCCTCACCTATAGTCCCAAAGCTTTCTTAGAACCACCTATTTATATTTTAGCTGAAATCAACTACACTTCATTTGTTACTAATCATAACAGGAATAGTTTTGATTTCCAAACACAGCAGTCAAGATGTCAGCTAAGTTAACTAAAATAAGTCAAAAAGCAGTATGCAAAAAAGGAAAGCAACTGAGTTCGAAAATTCCCATGTGATACAATCTTCACCTGACATCAGCAAGTCTGTGCAAGTTGAAACCAAGTTATTAAAAACAGACATCTCATATCATCACAATTTTCTTCCCTTTAAGTTGCACACCACTATTTAGTGTTTCCATTGTATAATTTTAAAAGCTTCTTTTCATTCTTCTTACCCATATATTCAGCACATTTACCACAGTGAGAAGCACTTCACAGCTGTTACTCAAATGCCTACCACATTTGCCATTTTAAATAGCAATCTGAATTTCTATTAAATACTGCAATTTCATACTCTTTCAAAACCAAAATGCACATGATCGAGAGTAAAAAAAAAAAGCTTTCAAAGAAATATAAGAATAACTGAAATATGACATTCCATATACCAAACAATTTTAAGACTACAATTAACTTCTATGAGTTTTGTCCTGAAAGCCATGAGAACACTAGCTATTATCTACAAAGAAATGCAAAGCATTATTTCGACTGGATATGAAGCTCTTTACACGTACCACCTGTCTCAGGAAACTACATGGAGTTTTTACAGGTGTTTTTTGTGTGTGTTCTGTAACAGTCCCAGCTGTCCCCATAAAATCTACTAATGGAAAATGCACTAGATAATCCAAGAGTTTTTAATTATGATACTGCTTAGCCATTTCAGTTCCTGATTTACACTTCCAAGAGACAAGAATGGAAAACCATATACCAACAATTTCACAAATATGACTTTGTATGGCATCGTATAAATATCTGTATTTCCACTTATTTTCAAATACACAAAATACTCACTCTCCTAATGTCATCTAGTGTATTAATTTCTGGTGAAAGTCCACCATGAACACAAAGAAACTGTTGATTTAGGAGAGCAGCGAGAGGGAGACAATCAAAAGCTTCCATACAAGCATCATAGACTCTTTCCGAATACTTTATTTTACCTGCAGGAAAGAGAATATAAAATGTTAAGAAATCCGTATTAGATGGAAGACGCAATCTAGTGGGTCATAATGATAAGAGCAAATCTCAAAGTCACTGCTTAAAAAAACCCCAAAGAAATTACTACTGTTGAGATTAAATGAGCATTTCCAAACACCACAACGGCAAACACATTTCTAAGACATACTCTCTTCAAGAACTATAAACTTCTTTCATTTCTTCTTCTGTTATCTCAAGTTTGGAGAAACTTTTTTTTATCACAGAATTATTTTGTGTTACACAATTATATAGCATACTTCACTGTAAAATGCTACTGAGAAGTTTGTGATTTCTCATTTGCAGTGAAAAGCTAAGAATTGCTTATAGGCTACATCACTTTTACCTACATCAAAGAAGGTTTTACCAGGGCAAATGATCCATTTATTACTAGATCAATACTTACACAAGCCTCCAAATGGAGAAGCAGCTTACATCACCAAATGAGTTATCTTACTAGTATGGTTGAAATCAATTCCCCAAATGGAAAAATTACTTGGCAGTAGAGTTTTCTTGATAGCTTCACAATGCTGTTGAGTAAATTACTTTGCACTCCCAATTACAGTCAAGACAGCAAAATAACATTCCTCTCTCCAGGACTGATACATCTAAATTTACTCCATAATGTATCTTTATAGACAGCAGTCTTCTACATTAACTTGCACTCCAATACTGCACTTAACTGCAAGCAATTCTACAGAAGTCAAAGGGGTCTCCAAATGTTTGTAAGACCTTAATTAAACTAACAGATAAACATCTCTCACGCAGAATGACAGACTATAGATCAGCAAGTTGGGAGTAAGCTAATTTTACATTATTAGACAGTACTTACATTCTTGTTTAAAGGTAAAATACTCTGTTAGGTGTCTGCATTCGTGGTTACCTCTCAAAAGAAATAATGTGCTCGGGTAGAGAATTTTCAGGACCCATAAGTACAGCACACACTGTTGAAAAACAAAGACATCCAGTAAAATACACTGATTTATAAGAACTTTAAAAATTATTACAAGAAACATTGAGTAAGAATGTTAACAGCTTCAAAAGCAAGTACAGCTGAATGTGCCATTTTAAAATGCAGCACTACTTCCCTGAGTGCAGTTCTGGACATGAGTTATACAAATTGCTTATTACTTAAGAACAGCTGCACAGAATACTGAAAAAATACTCACATTTACTGGACACTGAATAAGAAATTGCACTCAGCAAAACTATACTGCAGAACACATTCATCTAGACAAATAATGTATGTGTTTGTGCCAAAAATCTGATTTTATAATATGATTCTAAGCATCAGCATAAGAAGGAAAGCAGACATTTATTAATAGAGACTGAAGAAAAAAAAAAACCATGAAACTATTGACAGTAAAGTCAACTATATCATTTGGAGACCTGGGGAAAGCTGGTTGTTTATTCAGTGTTCAAGCAGCATATTCAAAGAATTATAAGTTTCCATATATCATTATTACTGCAACATCAGCAGCAGAGTTGAGAACAGAGCTACAGAACATGCACAATTTTTTCAGTTTAGAGTCTGTTACCACCCAGCAGTCTTGAATGCACAAAATATATTTCTTAAATTTCAGATCTGATTCTTGTATTTTTATCTGAGCACAGAAATCTCAAAACTCCAGAAGTTCTGGACTACACTGAAGTCACCTGGAAGTTGTTATTATTGTTCTTGATCAGTACAAGTGCCCTAAAGCTATCATTCATCAGCTATTTTGCATAGAATAGTAAGTACATGAAGGAAGAAAGAAAAGAAAAGAACACTTGAAAAAAGACAGCAAACATGGAGAAATACATCAAAGACTTCTATTGAGAAGTTTAGCTAAACTAATCACTGAATTTTTCTTATCTTCTTAGGCAAAATATGCAAAACAGTAATTTTTCTAATGATACCACTTGCTTTCCAAAGCTTCTATAACTCTAAAATATCCTGATATATTGCAAAGTTCCCAGACGCTTTAAAATTGCAGAAAGCATAATCAGTTTCTTACAAAACAACCGCTTATCATCAAATGAATACATGAATTAATTTGGCAAATTCTACAATTGTGAAATGTTTTAGTTAAGTCAGTTTGCACAAAAAAAATTATAAAAGCTGGCAACCTTGAAAACATTTAATAGAAAAGCATCAAAATAGTGCCTTTCTTTCAGTGAATAGATACTACATTTAATTAAGTTGCAAAGATTTACATGTTCTTAAGCATGAAAAATGTTACCTATTAAGAACAAAAAGAATTTTTTTTTCCACCTTTCCTCTACTGGCATATTTATTTTTTATTATCAAATACAGACAGGCTAATGTCAGAGTTCTCTATGTCCCGTTACTTCCAGTACAGAAAAGAATTTGCACAGACTTATGTGAAGGACTCCATCTTGATCCTGGCAGTTTGTTCTGTACAATCACAGTAGTATGTAATTATCTCTCCTATTAGAAGTGGTGGTATTTTTTAACTGGAAACACATTACTACTTAAATATCAATGCAATTAAAGATGTTTCAGGACAGACCAATTCAGAATTTAGTAGTGAAAAATCAAATTTCACTATTTGTACATTTTTAGAAAATTTCACCTTCACTTTTCTGGGAAAAGTCAAATATTTTACCAAAAGTATATTGCATTTCCAATCACTAAGAAAGATTTTAAAGTAACCATATATGAAAACTTCTGAAGGTCAACTTAAACTTCCTAAATTTTAATTAAGGCAAAAATGTAGGTAGGAAATTTTTTTTAAGGTTAAATTAGAGAACAAATGACTGATTTTCATGTACTACTTTTTTCTTTCTCAAGAGGACCACAAAGCATAGCTCCACCTTCATGCACCTGAAGCAATTCAACTTCATTCAGATAATCTGCCATGTACTTCACTGATGTTCCAACAGCCACTCAAGAGTAGAAGAGAGCAGATTATCTCAATGAAGAAAGACAAGCCTTCCAAGAACCTTGGAGTGGTTTTCAAGAGTATATTTAGCATATCTTTACATATTCTGCAAGTATATTTAGCATGCTAAATATCATATTAAAAATTAAAGTCTTATGAGGAAAAAAATTTGGCCTGTTCTTATTAATATATTCAAGAACATCCATTGTTTAGAAAGGGCTTTTTAAGTGTAATGGTTAAAAACCTTTAATTCATACCATGCTTTCGTATAGTGACATACAGTGGTGCTGTGTAAATATCTTTTTCAAGGAAAATTACATTACTTGTAATCATCAAGAACAGGCCAAGAAGATCAAATTAATGACCAGGGAATGCCTGTTGAAATTTTTCCTTATAAATGGCTGAGGCAATCACTCTTGCTGCATCTCCTGTTTGTCTACCATCCCTAGCAACCCCAAAGGCATTGTGCATGCCCTTCACAGTATATACCCACACGTGTTATTAGAACAGCACCATTTTAATATACAAGTGAAGTATCATACACCATGACTTACAAAATACTATTTCAAATGCTATGCTACTCTATTAGATGTCATATCTATGAAGAGATCCCAAGCTAAGGCACCTCCCAAGCTGGCTCCGGAAGAACGGTTACCTTAAAAATTTTAACTCTGAAACTAACTGATATGAATAAGTGAGTATCTCTGGAATGTATCATACTTAATAAACATGCTGAAAATAAAAAAAATTATTTGAATTCAAAATACCTGAAAAATTAATGGCAGAAACACAGGTCATCCTTAGGGAATATCTGTAATCGCCCTCAGAATTTTAGTAAAGAAAAATATTGATTATTATTAAAAAACATTTGATTACATAAGTAAAATTAATCTACTTTATACAGATAAACAGCTACAATAAATTAAAATACCCTGAAGTCATGACTCACCTGTTCTCCATAAACACACCTTACTGCATATTACCAGAAAAGCAGAATTATGTATAATAATGCTATATAATTCACCTTTTAAAAAACTAACTAAAGAAAGAGGAAGAAAATGTTATGAAGACTCGTGATTTCAACAGGACAGTCCAAATGGCTGGTCAATATCCTCCTGTAAACAGGCCTTTGTCATAGGAGAAAGCACAGCAAGGAAGAACACATTCACATGTTAAAGCAGACCTAAAATTTCATCTGAAAACCTCTGTGAAAGTGTGCTTATTGAAAAATTTAGGACAAAACAGATTAATATATTCAGTTACCTCTATACTAAAATAACCTCTGTCTACATAGTCACCGAGGAAGAGGTATCTTGTGTTAGCAGGTGATCCTCCCACTTCAAACAGCTTCATTAGATCAAAGAACTGGCCATGAATATCACCACACACTGCAAGCAAAAATTTTGTTCAAATTAATTAAAAAAAAATCTAACAGAAAAGTTACCAAGTTATAGTTCAGTAAACAGCCACAAAGTACTTCTAATTAAGAGGAAAGGCAGGTATAGAGCAGGAATAACAGAAATTTTTGAAGCTTCCCCCTCTGCTTTTCATTATGATGCTGTCCTCACTACATGTGATGAGACTGATGTCCCTATTTGAGTCTAGCAGATTGTGGAATATTTTTCAAACACAATTAATGCACTGAGCACTGAGGTCCTGAAAGTTGTCAGCAGCTATTTACTGTCCTGCCCAACCCCTTCGGTATCTTTGCAAATTCTCCCTGGTATGCATATTTGAAAATGCCTGCTGCTTTGCAACAATTTGCTGTGTCCATGTGGGATTGAAAAAAGCACGGAATATGCTTTTGTTTCTGAGTCAGACTAACGTACCTTTTAATATCATCATATCTTCTCTTTGCTCAGTTACTTTTCTCCTTCAAATAACCATGTTCACTATTTCAACAGTGGATTTTTCTTGTGTTTTTAGAATATGAGACAGGACAAGACCAGTGGTCAGCAACCTAAGGCAAGTGCCAAAGATAGCAGATGGGGAGACTTTGAAGAGCGTACAGTAAAGTCAGGTCATCTCACAATTTAAAAAAAATAAATTTAAAAATGGAAGAGACAACTGGTCCTAATTCCTCATTCCCACAGGAGTTCCCAGCTCCATGGAAGTCAGGAGCTGCCTTCTTGCTTCTGCATGAGGTATGGCTGATAACAATTAACACGAATTTGAGAGACTATGCCTTCTGTTGATGCAAAATGTCACTGATCAACTGACAAATAGCATCTTCCGATTTCTCAGAGTTTATCAGTAAATTTTTTGGGGAAAAAAAGTTGTTCTGGTTTTGAAAAGAAATATTGGACATGGCACACCAGACTTAAAAGGTTGTTAGTCCCTTGAAGCAGATCATTTGTCATCGTGACCTACAAAACATTAGACTAAATATAAAGTGTCCTCTTTTATGTTGCTTTTCTTAAGACTTCTACTCAAACATTGCTAGAACTTTCCTTCTTTTTCATCTGCCAATACAACAGTAGCTCTGGGCAACTACCTGAATGAACAGAAATACAAAAATTCTAAACATACGGACAACACTGTAGTTTTGAGCTTTATCTGGAGCTTCAAAAGACTGTGAGTACAGACAGTCACTTAGTGGTTTCCACCATTACAATCACCTCTTTTTTTTAAAAATGTCAACAATCATGAGGTACTGTTTAAATGTTTTCATTTACCTGATACTAACAAATTAAAGCAAACTGATGCCCTAAAAGAAGCTTTTCAGACACTAATTTTATATAGGTCCATTTAGAAGAAAACACATTAAAATAAAAGAAAATCTGATTTGAACACAAAAATCAAATCTACTTTCATCATAAATAACAGATATGCAACATAAACTATTTTCTATGAGTCTGGATTGTTTATAAGTAAAAGTAATAAAGGACACCAATTCTACCTTTCAACAGGTCAAACAGAAATAGAACTAGTCAAACCATGAAAATACTCCAAAAACCCCTAAGTCAGTTTTGTATCCCAGTCTATCTGGTCCTAGCACGTTAAAGATGTTAAAACAATCTTTCAACACTTCCCAGTACTACTACTCTCACAAAAACGTAGTTTTACATGCAATTGTCATTCCCACCTACAGAGAAACTATAAAGTATTTTTCACTCGGAATTCTAGTTCACAGTCTTTGCTTAAAACCACAGCAATTAGCTTCTATTCACATATTTAGATCTTGTGATAATTCTGAGTTAATTTTTCTATTTCAGGTAGATGTCTTTATTCCCACTTAGAATATTGCAGAATTAGAAATCGATAATTCATGTGCATTTAACTACTTTCTATTTTGTCGTTTTAATATCAATCACACTATTTTTTTCCAATAGGCTTAATGCCTTGATTTTTTAAAATAATGTGCAGCCTATTTTTTCAGACTATTTGAGTACTGTTAGACAAATGCAGTTGTGAGGGATAATTCAGTAAGACTATAGAGAAGTTTTATTTTAGCAATTTTTAAGACAAATTCAACTACTGAAAGAAACCTGGCTTTTTTCAAACTTATTTATTAATGAAATTATCTAGAAATATTACCTGTAATTGGAGCTTCAACTTCTATCATAGTTTTTTTCCCTCCGTAATATTGCAGCACCCTCATTGATGATTCTAAGTGCAATGTCTTCATCTACTCGACCTTCTTTTATCAAGTGGTTCTTCAAAATGTCAACCCTTGGTCTTCCATCTGTGTCAAACACTTCTTCAGACGTCAAGCGATGCGTTGGTGGAAAAGGGACAGCTAACATTTAAAAAGAAGAAACAGTAGTCACAACAATGCTATTTTTAAAATATACTCCATCTAGGACTGGATCTATCATGGAAGAGCTGCTATCCAAAGTAGCAAATTTGTCTATCAATCAATCAACTTGATGACCTCATTGAAAGCTGGAGGGAACAGTGTTATCTGTGTACGTATTTTAAAAAATTAACATCCATTATGTGCAAGCTTGTAGAAACTATAAAACAGAGCTAGAAGGCACAATAATACGTATAACATTGGGAAGAGTCAAAACTGCTTTTGCAAAGGTACACCATCTCTCCTCAGTATACTGCCATTCTCTGAAGGAGTCAACAAGTATTGGGGATGCAGGAGATCCATTTAAAAACCACAGGCATTTCAAAATAAGCCCATCATCAAAGCCTAAAAAACCCCCAAAATCCTATAAACCCCCCAAAAAACAACCAAAAAAATAAAAACAAGCCAAACACCAAAAATAATCCAAAGCTAGCAAGAAAAGGATAGAAAACTGTTTAAAGGACTATAAATTAAAGGAGGTAATAACCAGTACCTGGAAAGGAAGAAGCTCACTGGAGCAGGCCCACAAGAATCTGTGCTATTTAATAAATTCACAAATTACACTGAAAAGAAGGTAACTCATAGAGTGATGCAGTCTTCAGGTGACAGTAAGTATTCCAGACAATGAAGAATAGGGCAGGCTATGAAGAGCTACAGAAGTTGTCCATGCTACTAGAGTGACTCAGAAAAATATGACACACTAAATATTAATAAATGCAAAGTAATGAAGGAAATCCTAACTTTACATATAAAAGTCACATATTATAAAATTACTATTACTATTCTGAAGTAAGGTCTTTCCTATAGTTCTAGGAAAATACTCGATGCTGACAAGTCAAAGAAACCCAGAAAACTGAATGTTAAGAATTATTAGCAAATAGAACACAAAAGAAGATGCAATTATGGCACTGATAAATCTAGTATGCAACTCTGGTGTGCCCACCTTATAAAAGAGAAAGAATAATTTAAAAAGGATTCAAGGAACAATAATGGAAATCAAAAAGTCAGAATTATTTCTGCTGCAGGAGTAACTAAGTAGAACTAGGATTCTTCAGCCTAAAATCAGGAAAACCAAGCAGGACTCTAACAGAGGTCCATGACAGCATTATGGAGAAGGTGAAGGAAGAGCAGCACTTGCACACTCTCGGGCCCTGAATGGCACAAAGGAACAGGATGGACTCTGCCAGTTTGAAGTTTTGTCAAACCACTGACTAAGCAGCAGAACAAGTTCATACTGTCAGAAAAAAAACCTGTAACTTTGGGAGCCTACAACACTGCCACTGTAGGTTGAAATTCCTTCTTTGAGTTTGTTGTCCTTATTTTCCTGTTGTACTGTCTCTAAAAAGACTAAACTAAGAGTAGAGGCTGTCCATATACTATACACAACTTTATAAAAATTACTGGAAGCACTGGAAGTCCTTGGATCCTAGCTTGAGGGTCAAAACCAGCCATATGCGATCCATAGCTCAGAGAAGTGGACCAGATGAGAGGTCTGAGGTAGTCTGAGCAACTGCCCAGATAACATGTTTGACAGCCAGCAGCTTACATGAATTAAAACAATGGCAGTTCAGTTACTGCACAAATGAAATAGGGATGTGAGATATGGGAGAAGAGGATCCATCAATTGCCACTAAGCAGTGCATCAGAGTATCATTGCACTCCTGCAGCATTACAGGAAATAAAACTAATCTGAAAAAAAATACCAAAAACCCCCAAAAGCATACCACTATTGAAAGAATGAAATAAAAGATGAAAAGAGCAAAACCTCCATTTACTATCTATTTAAATATTATTTCAATACAGGTCCTGAGGGAACTGACAGATAAAGTGGCTAAGCCACTATCTGTCATATTTGAGGAGTCATTGCAGTCCTGCGAAGTTCCTGCTGACTGGAAAAGGGGAAACAACGCCCATTTTTAAAAAGGGAAAAAAGGAAGGCCCAGGGATCTACAGGCCAACCAGTCTCACCTCTCTGCCCAGCAAGACCATGGAGTGGATCCTCCGGGAAACTATGCTAGGGCACATAGAAAATAAGGAGGTGATTGGTGACAGCCAAGATGGCTTCACTAAGGCCAAACTGTGCCTGACAAATCTGGTGGCCTTCTACAACGGGGTTACAGCGCTGGTGGATAAGGGAAGAGCAACTGACATCATCTACCTGGACTTGTGTAAAGCATCTGACACTGTGCTCCACAGCATCCTTGTCTCTAAATTGGAGATTTGTGGATTTGATGGATGGACCACTCGGTGGGTATGGAATTGGCTGGGTGGTTGCACTCAAAGAGTTGCAGTTAATGGCTCAATATCCAAGTGGAGAGCAGTGATGAGTGGCGTTCCTCAGGGGTCAGGATTGGGACCAGTGCTGTTTAACATCTTTGTTGGCGACATGGACAGTGGGATTGAGTGCACCCTCAGCAAGTTTGCCGACGACACCAAGCTGTGTGGTGCAGTCAATGTGATAGAAGGGAGGGATGCCATCCAGAGGGACGTCAACAGGCTTGAGAGATGGGTCTGTACAAACCTCACGAAGTTTAACAAGGCCAAGTGCAAGGTCCTTCTCATGGGTCAGGGCAATCCCAAGCACAAATACGGGTTGGGCAATGAGCAATTGAGAGCAGTCCTGCGGAGGAGGACTTGGGGGTATTGGTGGATGGAAAGCTGACTATGAGCCAGCAGTGTGTGCTCACAGACCAGAAAGCCAACCGTATCCCGGGCTGCATCAAGAGAAGTGTGGCCAGCAGGTCGAGCGAGGGGATTCTGCCCCTCTACTCTCGTAAGACCCCACCTGGAATACTGTGTCCAGCTCTGGAACCCCCAGTATAAGAAGGACACGGACCTGCTGGAGCAGGTCCAGAAAAGGCATATGAAGATGATCAAGGTGGGGTTGGAGCACCTCCCTTATGAGGACAGGCTGAGAGAGTTGGGACTGTTCAGCCTGGAGAACAGAAGGTTCTGGGGAGACCCCTTAAAGCTGCCTTCCAGCACTTAAAGGGGACCTACAGGAAAGATAGGGAGGGACTCTTTATCAGGGAGCATAGTGATATGATGAGGGGTAATGGTTTCAAACTGGAACGGCGTATTTTTAGATGAGATATAAGAAAGACATTCTTTATTGTGAGGTTGGTGAGACACTGGAACAGGTTGCCCAGAGAAGCTGTGGCTGCTCCTTCCCTGGAAGGGTTCAAGGCCAGGTTGGACGGGGCTTTGGGCAACCTAGTCTAGTAGAAGGTGCCCCTGCCCATAGCAGGGGGGTAGGAACTAGATTATCCTTAAGGTCCCTTCCAACCCAAAAAGCATTCTGTGATTCTATGATGCTTAAAAAGAAAAATTGGAGAAACACAGTATTCAAAGATAAGAACTGGTAGTATGAATACACTTAGATGATTTATACTTTACTTTCTTACTCTAGAAAATTAAACTTTACATTCCAAAAGTCAATGCTTAAATACTAAAACATTCACTGACTTCATTTAAATTGGCTTCTAGATTAACAGCAACATGTTGCTACCCTTCTGGTTTATGCAATAATAAAAATCTATCAATACAATAACTGATGCATAAACCACATACATACATTCACTGAAAATAAGTTATACTAGAAAATAAACTGGATAATTGTCTATTCTTCCTCTTATAAAAGTTTCTAAGTATGAAGAAGCCAAAAAATGTGCCTTTACATTACACATTGTAGAACAAATCTGGCATTTTATTTTTGGACATGATGTATTTTATCAACAGAAACGAAATTGCATGCTTTTGTTTCCAGTCTCCTCTGATAATGATTCAAGTTTCACTTGGAAGTGTTAAAATTCCATGTAGTCCAAATGTTAACAAACTTAACGCATTTAAGAAATCAAAAGACAATCACTTCTGTTCCATGCACAACAATTGTTTAAAAACATAAATCTGTCTCTGAAAGAGAAATCTATTGTTCCACCAAGATAAATTTAACTCATTTTTAGAAGTACTTAATTATGACCAGGCAACCATCAACTCTTGCATTCACTGTTTTTTTGAACTTGACTTTCCAACGTTCATATTCTCTTAACATTTTTTCATTATTTGGTAGTTTATATTAACGTGTACATAAATCAGTTTTACGCCATTCCTTCCCTCACTTTTTTAAACACATTATTTGTGGGCCCACAACTGCCTTCATCAATGCAAAGTTGAGCTCACCCTTTTATGAGAGACCAGAGAATTAACAAAGTAGCTTTCTCCTGCTTTAATTGTTGCAAAAGCATGAGGGATCATACCTTCACAGAATCAAAGTCGATCACCTCCAAGACACAGTTTTGTAGAAACTGTGCTTCACTAGTTCTAGTATTATTCCTAGATAATGATCTACTTGAGTGAAAGATAACCCTTTTTTCTTTTTGGAGGTATTTTGGGTAGATGCAGGGTGTGGTAGGGAATGGTCTGTTGAGGTGACCAGATGTTCTTCATTCTCTTATGTGCAAATCATTCCTTATTATGACTACCAATGGCTGCAGAATTCAGAAAAATGGTTTTGACCTCTTCCTTATCACAGTTCTTCTCTTAATGAAGTTCTTATGTCCATGTAACATGTTTTAGATCGGATTTGCACAAAAATTAACTCTGTCTATTTTAACAAACTACAGCTTTGAATTTGTCTCACAAGTTACATTTTCTGGGAGGCAATAAAAACATGTTTCTGTCCAATGTGTGGAAAGAACTGTCTCAAATTATTTTAATTAATGTACTTATGAAGATTCAAATTAAAAACTACGTATGTGCAGGGGTTATCCATAATGGCCCAAAATCACAAGAGTTAGTATTAGAATTAGTTAAGCATCTGTAAAGTTATATTTGCCTCATGAAAAAATTAAGTCTTAAAACAAGTTCCTCAGAGTTTAACAAAACCATTTTCACACACTACATGTCTTTTCTTATTGCTCAAGAAAGATTTTTTTTTAGAATAA